TACAGAAGGTAAAGCCACCCCAGATATTTTAGGTATGTTATCATTTCGAAGAAAACTCATCAAAAAGTGCTTTTCATTAAAAAGAAACTGATGTCTGGGTGGCTCAGTCAGTTAAGCATCTGCTTCGACTCAGGTTATGATCCCGGGGTCCTGGGACTGAGTCTCGTATTGGACTCTTTGCTTAGCGGGGAGCCTGATTCTCCCTCTGCCTGCTGCGCCCCCTGCTTGTGCTCTCTCCCTCTCTATCTCTGGAAAATAAATAAAATCTTAAAAAAAAAAAAAAAGAGGGAAAGAAAAGTAATGAGTCCTACTGTGGGTTGGGCACTATATGATAATACGTTTTCTCACTGTTTCCTTAAAGCACTCATGAGATAACGGGCATTACCCCCAACTACGGATGTGGAAACCGAGGATTCGTCCAAAATCTAAATGGCAACCAAGTGGTAGAAGTAGGATTTTGGTTTGCATTTGCCTTATTACAAGATGTCTTTCCCTTTTGCCACACTACCTCTGTGGACATGGTGTCCATGGCATTACTGTCTTCCCCCAGACTTCATTCTCTTTGATTCCCAGAAACTGCTAGAGAAGGAGCACGGTCAACAGTAGAGCTCAGGTAGTGTAAGAGTACAGGTGTCCTTCAGTACCAAATGGGCTAACTGCACTCTCCTCGTCTAACTCAACAGAAGAATATCATGGAATCCTGCGGAAACCGGAAAGGTAGTGGTCCAGGAGTCAGTTGTATGAGGCGTACAACGTTCCATTCTGTCAGAACTCAACCTGCATCCCACTCTCTTAGTACATGAGAGGGTCTGAGAAATGCCTAAGGGCAGTTGGGGAAAGATGAGTAAACAGAGATGCCATGATTGCCTTTCGAAATTTGAACACCGCATGAACGAATAGGTAGTGCTGTTTGCCAGTGAGGAGACACTGAGGGAAATCTTGGCTTGGGCACAGGAGGACATCCTTCCCTGCCACAGAGCCTAGCGGCAGAGCGGACTGCTTTAGGAGACAACAAATGGTCTGAGAAACATGGTCCAAAACCACAGGCAAGGAGGCTTGGAGGCAGAGAAGAGTTGATCATTCCATATGGTGGGTGGCCTTAGTGATCTTTGGGGTTCTTTGTAGCTCTGAGCATTGAAGACTTTCTCTCTCTCTTTCTTTCTTTCTTACTTTTTTTTTTTTTTTTAATTATTTACTTATTTATTTGAGACAGAGTGAGCAAGTGAGTGGGTGAGCAGAAAGGTCAGAAGGAGAGGGAAAAGCAGATTCCCACTGAGCAAGGAAGCTGATGTGGGACTCGATCCCAGGACCCTGGAATCATGACCCAAAGGCAGACACTTAACTGACTGAGCTGCCCAGGCACCACCACCGAAGCCTTTCTATGTGGTTTCATTTGTTGTCATCTATCTATAGATGTGATGCATTCATTTGGATCGCTGTGTTTTTGTAAGTTTTTTCTTTATTTTTCTCTAACATCATGTTAGAAATTAGTAAGAAAGCATTCTGCCACAGAGAATATTCCTCACCTCTGGGATCCTGTGTCTTTAACGGTTAACATAAGTACAGTATCCTGCAAGCAGCCCCTCACAATGGCTCTGCATGTGCTGGGCCATCAGGCCGCTGCGAATGACAATCTTCCTGTCCTCTGAGTGGCCTCACCAGTCGTTTAAGAAATTCAGTTCATAGCAATCCTTTGTCAGGTGGTTTAGGAAGCACTTTACACATGAAAATTAGATATAGTGACTACACGAGTTTCTGTTTATTTTATGCCCACCACAGTCTTATCAGTTCTCCATTTTTTTAAAAGATTTTATTTATTTATTTGACAGAGACACAGAAAGAGAGGGAGCACAAGCAGGGGGAGTGGGAGAGGGAGAAGCAGGCTTCCCACCAAGCAAAGACCCCAATATGGGGCTCGATCCCAGGATGCTGGGATCATGACCTGAGCCAAAGGCAAAGCTTAACCGACTGAGCCTCCTAGGCGCCCCATCTCTCCATTTTGAACCAAGGAGTGTGTATTCTGCCAATTTTAAATGGAATCTTCTCATCAGGCTAAAGGCCTTGCTTCACTGCAGGCTGTCTGGAGGCCAGAGGAATGGATCTGGTAAAGTGGTAGCCAGCTGAGTGCCACATTTACTTAATCTAAAGCAATAAACATGACAGTGAAATTTTTTTTTTCTTTTGTAACAATGTAAAGTGACAGATGTTCCCTAGACTTATTGTGGTGATTGTTTTGCAGTGGATACAGATACCAAATCATTACGGTAGAAACCAGAACTCATAGAAGGTTAATGTCAATTGTAATAGCCAATTAAGGAAACTTATACCAAAAGACCAAAACAAAACAAAAAAATCCATGGTAGCGAAAAGGTGTTCCCTCCCGGGACCCATTCAGATGGGCGTGGGTTTCCTACGGAGTGTGTGTTGGGGGTGCCTATCTACTGGGATGTAAAGTGTTAATTGCGGGGCTTGTTGCCCCCCAGCTGAGGCTGCTCTTCCACTGTTGAACAGATTCCTGTCCCTCATTCATCAGACCCTGTACCCTGCACGCCTGTTATTGACAAGTGTTGTTCTGGCAAGAGAACGAAGTACTCTCCTAAAAACTGCATTCCAGTCCCCACCACTTCGACCCTCATGTATTGTTTTTATCACTGTCACTATTACTATAGCAGCAACACTTATTATTTATTATTTATTATAGGCTGTCCATGGGGTTAAGTGCTATCCCCCACTGTCGTCTTTAATCCCCATAACCATCTCATAAAGTAAACACTCTCATGACCCCCATTTACAAATGAGGGAAGGGAAGTTCAGGTACAGCATACATTTGCCCAGGGTCCTGCAGTGCCTGAGTGATAGAGCTGGGAAGAATCCAGGGCTGGTTCAGAGCCCACACTCTGGGTCACTCTGTTGTGCAACCCATTCTTTTGCTCGACGAAATTGTTTAAATCAAAGCGCTAAGTGTGTTCCTTAGATATTTTTGGAAAATTTTTAGTACTTGTTTGCCATTAGTACCTATTTACCCTGTCTTCTGTTGACAGAAGGGAAGAAATGAATTGTACTTAATAAACTAAGGAAACTGTGTGCATGAGTGTGTGTTTAAGCAAATTGCTTATTTGTATGATGACTTTCCAAAGATGGTCTAAATCCATCACTAAACCATAACCTCAGACAAGTTCAGCAACAAGTTGTGGAGAGATGCAGTTGTCCTTGTGGCTATGGAAATGAGGGAAGCAAGTCAATAATGCCTATTTAGTTCTGCAATACTGAATCAGCCACTCTTGAATGACAGTGCTTCTAAAGATGCAGCCCCGTGGAATTCAGGAGTGTCCTCTGACAAGTGTGTCTCTGCCTCTTCCTTCTTGCTACCTTTCTAAAACAAAATGTAATAAAGGACACCGGAAAGATAATGTTTAAATGTCATATCCCTGATCAGTAAGTTAGATGCCATTCCCCCATTCCTAGGGGATAACTCATACAAATGTGATCAAAATTTGATGAATTTTTTTGCTGTATGTGTTAGCGGGTTCTAAAAACTTCAGTTCTGGCATCTGAATGCCTAGCAATGCTAAGCTCTCATGGGGCTGAGTGCTCACTAAAGTGAACAGAGTAGCTGAATGCCAAGTTCAGAGCCTGGGGATTCGGGATAAAGCAGCTGGAAGACTAGCAAGAGTGTAGGCAACACCCTAAAATAATTTCAAATTGACAGAGTAGTTGCAAGAATAATACAAAGAATTCCCACAGACCTTTTACCCCAATTTATCATTTTCAATATTTTGCCACATATATCTTACCTCTTTTTCCACATACACTATATGCATGCACACACATATGTGTTTCTTTTTCTGAACCATGTGAGAGTAGGAATCCTACCTCGTTTTTTTTATGCCTTTATACTGTAGTATCTATTTCCTAAGAATAGGGATAGTAATAGGGATAGTCTGTGACGTAGCCACAGTGCAGTTGTGAAATTCAGGAAATTTAACATTGAAACATGACTTTGATCTCCCCTATTTACCACGTTCAGATGCTGTCAGTGTTTCCAATAATGTCCTTCAATAGCACGTTTCCCCTTCAGTCCAGGATTGAGCCCACGATCATGTGCCACCTTAATTGTCATGTCTCTTCAGTTTCTTGCCATTGGGAGCAGTTCCTCAGCCTTTCTTTTTCCTTGATGAAACTGATGCTTTTGAAGGATATAGGTCAGTTTTTACATAGATGTTCCTCCTTTTGGAGTGGCCTACCCCTGGCTGGTAATACAACACAAACCAAGGTGTATCTTCTTCAGAATATTATACCTGGAGGCACACAGGTCCATCTGAGCCCCACCAGAGATTAATTGTGGTCACTTGGTTAAGGTGCTATCTAGTTTCTTGGTTTCTAGTTCATGACTCCCCAGCGACCAATGAGCTTTGTTTTCAAACAGTTTCGGTCTTTAGGGATAGAAACAAAATTAAATGCTGATAATTGAGAATCCAGAGGTGTTTTTTCAAGTGTCAAAATATCTTGATAGGTCATCAATTCCTAGAATTGTGTAGTGGGTAGGGGGTTTGGAATTGAAAAATATGTACGCTGTTAAATTTTTTAAATAGACTTTATTTTTCAGAGCAGTTTTCGCTTCATAGCAAAATGGAGCAGAAAGTACAGAGTTCCATATAACCCTCCCCCTCCCACCCACACACAACCTTCCCCACTGCCAGCATCCCACCAAGCGTGGTCCATTTGTTAAAATCAGTAAAGCTACAACAAAGCAGCACTATTACCTAGAGTCCATAGTTTCAGTTAGGGTTCACTCTGGATGTTAGGGTTCACTCTGGGTGCTGTACATTCCAGATGTGTTCTTTAAATGTCAACTTACAGTGTCCCTTTGCTCTACTCTTCAGGCACTGTTTGGGGCTATTACTTTTCTAAGTTCCTTCATAAGAAATATGTGTCTCTGTGTCTTGCGTTTAATTATGCCTCTTCCTTTACTCCTTTTTATAATGATTATATCTTTCTAGTTTACTTCACTTTAAGGTCAGCTTTTAATACCCTGTCAGCGGAGAGAGAGAAGATGAAGCAGCTGATGGAACAGGATGTCTCCTCCCCACCTTCTGCCCAGGTCATCGGCCTGAAGCACGCCCTGTCATCCGTAAGTCGCATGCCTGTGTCACAGAAATGCCTGACCACCTGGCCAAGCTCTTGAATCTTTTTCTACATTTTCTGACTCCGTGGTTGTGTTGAAAATTCATGAAAAAACCAAACAAATTATCCAAATTCTGTTTTCACCTTGTATCAGATCTGCTAATTCTGAGCACCAACACCGAGCCTGCCTCCAATCTTGGTAGCTCGTATTTCATGGAGTTTCTTTCCATTTATCTTGATTTTTCTGTTTCTGTAAAGTGTTTGCTGTGTGTTTGTGTGGGTCTCCAGACATCTGCTTCTTACATCAAAATCTGGCAGTTTGGTGGAGGTTCCTTACCAAAGACTTCTCAAGCTTAGACTGACTCTGCAAGTGACGGGGAGCAGGCGGCCATTTTAAATTCTCTGCTGCCCAGCTCTGATCCCGTTTACCGCTCCTTCAAAATTGTTTAGAAGTGATTTGATATGATTTGGTAATATAAACATTTAGCTTCTTTTTCCTGCATGGGCACAAAGAGATGAGTCATAAGGAATGTCAGATAATCATTGTGTTCTCATCCCAACAGAAAAATCACGGTCCAGCCCCACATGTTTTTCAGTCAGCTCTTCTGTTAGTCACTCTCCAGTTTCCCCATGATTTCTTTTGGGCTCCATTCAGGTGCAGTGTCCTAGGACTCTCCTTTGAACAGCTGGAGTTGTCTGATTGCTCATTCTGTATCTATCGGAAAGCTGGAGGATTTTAAAAATAGCATACCATTTCTGTTACTTCTATTTATTTTACTTATTTATATATTTCTTTTATTTTTATCTTATTTTGTTATTTTATTATGCCCCTAGTCTTTGCTTGTCCTTTCGAATCCCTACTGCAAAGAGAGTGTGTGCACACACGGGAAGTCACCAGCTGAAACAATACAGAACTTTTTGTTTAGGGCTGGGTGGGGGAGATGAGTTTCAGGATCTTGTTTTCAGGAGCTGATTCAGCCTTTGAGAGAACTAGAAAATATCCGTTCATCTTTTCGATTCATGATATTACTGAGAAAAGTAAAGTAATGATTGTGGTATGACCTTAATGGGAAACACATTACATAGTACATATTTGCTGTCGAAAAATACTTAAGGAATATCTACTCAGTTGGCATTCCAAGTATGTTATCTTTGAAAGAAATAAAAAATAATGTGGACTTAGTCTTAATGTGGTCTACCCTGAGGAGCTTTGGGTTTTCTAAGGTCAGAGAGAAACACCCCTTTTTGTATTGCAGTGGACAGCTAGCTGCACACTGGGTGCTGTTTGGGTTTGAAAGAAGTGAGGTGGGTTCTTTTTTTTTTTAGTTTATTTTTTAGTGCTACAGAGCATTTCTTATTATTCCCGGTCTTACTGGTTTTTATTACTTTTAGAAAATACCTCCGATGGGCTTCCCCCTGACAGGGGTTTTCTCTCTCCTGCTCTCCTCCGTTGGAGGTCTGGCCTCATTTTTTTAGTCTGCTTGTCTGGTAGAGGGCATGATATCCTAGGCCAGAGTTGTTACCCTTCTAAGGATTAAGATAAAACAAAATGATCCTTTCTTTTCTCTTTTTGGCTTGGATTCTGGATTAGATTCAAGACTTGTTTTTTAAAAATAACATTTTTAGTGTCATCTCAGGGCTATCAGAATGCATATGTTTGGGCTGTATGTGCAATCTTGGCATTCTTCTCTCTTCTGCCTGTGGTTTACAAAGGAAAGAGAAGCTGCTAAAATAACACATTTTCCAGACCATACTGCAAGTCTGGCCACTGGTATAGATTCTGGCCACTGATGCTAAGATGTCAGCAACATGTTGGCCAGAAAAAAGTGAATACCCCATAGAGATTGTTACATGTACATGTGTGTATTAAGAACATTTACTCAGTGATTCCTAAATGATCCTCAAGAATTTCCAAATAACCCATTCCATTCCTGGTTATTAAAAATTAAAACCAACATCCTGTCTGAGATTTAGGCAGTAGATCAGACCATGCCACATCCTTCTATGATCTCAGCAGGTAGGCCCTATGGGCACTAATGGATGGGAAAGGCTCTGAGCTTCTTGGACTAGAGCCTGGAAGATAGGACAGATCTGCATGCAAGCACCTGGGGAGCTGACTGTGGGAGTGTCTGGGAGGACAGTCAGGCACACTTGTCCCTTTCCAAAGACAGATCATTTGGAAATGTCTTCCTTTACCTTTAAGCCAGTTCCTTCCCCTTTGGGATGTTGGGACAGAGAATCTGACCTGCCCAGGGGAGGGTTTACACGTGCCCACCTCCCTCCCCCCATTCCCAGGGCCCTGGTCCTTAACCTTTATCTAGGTAAGTGAAAGTACATAGTTGATTTTCAATAAAATGTCTTAGTCATGAAGAATGAATAAAGCAATCATTACCTATATTGGGAGATAATAAAATTACTCTTCCACAAAATCCTACTTCCAAGCATACTACCTAAAGTCCAGTTCAACTGGTATGAAAATTAAATAACATTAAAAGATGTCCAGTCATAGGGGTGGGATAAGAGAAGCGTGGGATCATAGGGAGGGAGCTGGGGAGGTAGGGCTGTGAAACCACTAGCCCTAGTAAGAGCTGAAGGTGTTGGTGATTTCCTTCTCCACGGAAAGCAAAGCCGCTCCAGCCCCTTCTTCCATCCCGGGAAGTGAGACCAGAGAAGGGACATCACTTCCAAAGTTTATTGTCTTTGATCTCCTTGGCAGCTCAGAACCATATCCTGTTGGATAACATTCAAGAAGAAAGTCCTGGAAGTGCCCTGCTAAGGGCTCCGTCCCCCTGGCCCCCCTGCTGTGCTTTTCTGATACATCCACTTATTAACAGAGCCCCACTATTTTTAACATGTTCCAGGCTCTAGCACAAAACACAGACCTTAAAGAGCGCTTACGCAGAATCCATGCTGAGTCTCTGCTCCTCGATTCCCCCGCTGCCGCCAAGTCGGGTGACAGTCTGGCAGAGGTGGGTAAGGCTTCTCGCCTGGGGATGTTTCCACGACCGCCACCCCCTCACCCGACAGCCTCTGTGCCCCTCTTTTCCCTGGGGAGTGGGGAGTGGGGAGTGGTGCTCACATCTGTGCCCCCCCCCCCCCGCCCCCACAGCTGCTTCAGGGTCTGAGTCCCGCACCCCAAGGCTTTCTTCCCTACTCATGTGCTAACTGCATTGTTCAACTGCTCCCCCCCCCTCAGAAGTTGTCTTCCTTTTGTATTTCTTTACCCCATTTCCTCCTAACAATCACCTTTTCACTAGTTATTCCTAGAGTGGGAATGCCCAGAGATATTTTCTTCTGTTACTTCTAAAGAGGCCCCATTTCCTCTGCCCTGTGGTATCCTAAGTCCCTGCTACCGTCCTTTGCCCCCTCTGTGACAGCCCCTCTCCCCTTTCTTTGTGGCTGTTGCCTTCTTCTCCTGTGAATTTTTTTTTCTTTTAAAAAAGCACAGCTGTACCCTGTGAGGGAAAAAATATTGTATTACAATTGAAGTGTCTTGGTCAACTAATAATATGTTAAAATGGCTTTTCTCAAAACTCAGGATGTTTATACAAAAGGTTCCTTGCATGTGTTTAAAATTAGAAACTGCAGAAAAGATACAAGTGGATTACTCAAAAAATAAGTAGAAAAGGATAATAAGGCTTAAAACTGTTTTCAACTATCATATGTATATGCCCACCTCAGATATGCTATATTTCTCATTAACAAACTTATTAGACTGAGAGTATTTATAATGAAAAGAAGGAAGGTAATATACAAGGCTCATGTGTGTGTATGTACATTTTTAAAAGGAGTTTCTAATGTTGAAGCTTAATCCCTCTTCCTCCTTTTCCTGTCCTCAAAGAAAACAAAGCCCCCACATAATCCTTCACTCTGTGGGAAGCCCCAGGAGACTACTGGCTGATATCGGTCAGCACCAAGGATGAGGCCTGGGCATCCGCAGCCACGGGGACCATGGGCTCGGCCACACGCCCAGGGGACCCTGTTGTCTGACGAGGGACCTACACTGTCTCTGCAGAGGCTCCCAGGCTGCTGTTACTTCTGAGACGCATCAGGAGTTGACCATGGCATTCCTCTGCGCACTCACTCCCCACGAAGAGATCTTTCCAGTCATTTTAGCCCAGACTAAACTGAATCATCTTTAAAGTTGAGCACCTGAACATTACCGGGCTAACCTTCATTTTAGGCCTGGGCGAGGGAACGTGCGTGGTTGCTGAAGCAGGGCGTAGTCACTCTGACCGGCCGTCGCTCAGTGTTGTTGGCTGCCAGGAGCCGTGGTGTTCCGTGGGGTTGCATACCTATTGCGAAGCAGTACTTAACCTTTTAAATAGTATTACTGCCTAATTGTATATATCAGGTTAAGCAAGCTGACCCCTCATTTTTGGCTCTGTGTATTTATGCTCAGTGTGCATACTTGGGGCTCTTTGCATTTTGGAAAGGAAAGTATAGAATCCTAAGTCTTCACAATGCATGTTCTTAAACTGATCTCACAAGGAATGTACCTGAAGGCTCAAATGACCTTGAGGGGGAACAGTGGTATCCCCCACATTCACACTTTCCAAAACAACCTTCTGGAGTCTTGATGATGGAGTGTTCTCCTTGCTGTTTCCTCTTACAGGGATTTTCTGTTCTCCATTTCTTATCCTGCTTTTCACTTGAGTGACTCAGGCTCACTGAGTGACTCAGGCTCACTTTTCCAGAAAGGGAAGAGCCATTCTTGTCTTCAGGAAACCAGAGAGTGAGTGGAAGTGGCCGCCCCAGAGCCTAAAAATTCCATTCCCGCTTATTTTTTTTTTTAAGATTTTATTTATTTATTTGTTAGACAGAGACTATGAGTAGTCGGAGAGGCAGGCAGGGAGAGAGGAGGAAGCAGACTCCCTGCTGAGCAGAGAGCCCAATGCAGGGCTCGATCCCAGGACCCTGAGATCATGACCTGAGCCAAAGGCAGAGGCTTTAACCCACTGAGCCACCCAGGTGCCCCTCCCGCTTATTTTTCTTAGATGGCTCCCAGACTTCCCAAGCATTCTGTCAGGGAATGACAGTCCCCACAGTGGGGTCAGCCCAGGGTGCTCTCTTCTCTCTGTTTCTGTTTTGTCCCTTACCTCTGAGTTGTGCAGATTACCCGTCTTTGGCATTGAACCTGGCTCCTTTAGATTCTAAAATCTTTGGCATTGAACCTCCTCCTTTAGATTCTAAAATCCCCCCTCTTCTATCAGAAATTACTCCGTTCTATTAAGTTCTCCTGTTTTGTGTTTCTGAATGTGAACATTTAATATTATCAGCTTATTAGTTCTTACATTATTTTAGATTCCAAATGAAAGGCTAAGTGACTTTGGGTGATAACATTCTACTGAATCTACAGTCCGTTTAAGAGACTAATTAGGCAAGAACTTTAAAACAATGTCTGAAAGAGAGGAAGGGAACTTCTAATTGCCTCATGGCTGGAGTCCATATACAGTTGAATGCATTAACTCACAAAATCCTAACCACAGTTCTTTGAGATAGGTGATGGTAGTTTCATTTTAGAGACAAGAAACCAGAGAGGTTAAGTAGCTTCTCCCAGGGCACACAGCTAGGTAGAGACCTAGAGGGGATTTCAGTCCACAGCTGGTGAGTCAGAACTGTTTTCTCAGTAGGATCCACTGCTATATATTGAGGAATGTGCCAGGCCACAAAATATGACCGAGTGAGGCTCCAGGAGTGAAGATATGCTGGGGATGGTGTGAGAATGGATGGAATAACTATCTCAGGCATAAACACCATTTCGCATAAAAGAAACATATATGGGGGGCCACCTGGGTGATTCAATGGGTTAAGCTTCTGCCTTCGGCTCAGGTCATGATCTCAGGGTTCTGGGATCGAGCCCCGCATCGGGCTCTCTGCTCGGCAGGGAGCCTGCTTCCCCCTCTCTCTCTGCCTGCCTCTCTACCTATTTGTGATCTCTCTCTCTGTCAAATAAATAAATAAATAAAAATTAAAAAAAGAAAAGAAACATATGATAGAAGAGGCTCGAAATTCAGTGGGGAAGAGATGGATTATTCAATCAACTTGGTTGGCACAGCTGAAAAACAATTTGGAAAGCAGTTTAAATCTTTCCGCTGCACACTAAAATGAATTGCTAGTGAATTAGAGTTAAATATAAAAACTGAAATTGAAAGATTGATTTAAATATTTATCAAATGGCTAGAGCGAAGAGGACTTCCTAAACTCGGAAACAATAGAAAAATTACAAAAGAAATGTTGACTCGATCTGATGGGACTTTTTAGGGAAAAAGTGGTGTGTGTGAAAATATAAGGAGACAAATAATACACAAGGAAAAATATTTTCAGTGAAAATGACAGACTCAGATAATGCGAATTAGGTAATAATGTCTTTAATATGTAAGTAATAGGTAATCACAAGCAACTGAAGACCTCAACAAATGAATGAAAAAAGGGACACAATTTACCAGAAACCCAGATTTTTTTTTTAAAGATTTTATTTATTTATTTGACAGAGAGAGATCACAAGTAGACAGAGAGGCAGGCAGAAAGAGAGAGAGAGAGAGGGAAGCAGGCTCCCTGCCGAGCAGAGAGCCCGATACGGGACTCGATCCCAGGACCCTGAGATCATGACCTGAGCCGAAGGCAGCGGCTTAACCCACTGAGCCACCCAGGCGCCCAAAACCCAGATTTTTTTTAAAAAAACTTTGGACTTTGTAGTACTTAAAATTTCACAAGAAAGTGCAAAGAAATGCAGAGTTCCCAAGTACCCTGACCTATTCTCCCCCAATGTTAACATCTCTACAGCGAGATTTTTTAAAAGAAAAAACTGTTGACCTAATTCTTAACAAAGAAATGCAAATTAGAACAATTAGATAACAAGAATTTTTCTAAATTATATTATTACGTTATGCCCTTAGAGATTTTAGAGAAAACAGAGGTTCTCTTATTTGTTAATGTAATTAGGTAATATATATATATTATTATAAAAGTTTTTAATAATTCTGCTTCTGGGAACTGATTTATTTTTTTTTAAAGATTTTATTTATTTGACAGACAGATCACAAGTAGGCAGAGAGGCAGGCAGAGAGAAGAGGAAGCAGGCTTCCTGCTGAGCAGAGAGCCCAATTGTGGGGGGGGGGCTTTATCCCAGGACCCTGGGATCATGACCTGAGCCGAGGGCAGAGGCTTTAACCCACTGAGCCACCCAGGTGCCCCCCTGGGAACTGATTCTAAAAAATAATGATAATGTCTCATTATTTACAAAAGACATTTGCAAACATGTTCACCATCTTTACAAATTTGAAAACACTCTTAATTTCCAATACATAAAAGGGTCAGTCTGTAACACCCATTTATAATAAAGTATTATCTATCAACTAAAGTTAATGTCTCAAAAAACTAACAACCTGGGGAAAAGTTTATAATGTTAAATGAATATAGCAGATTATATAAAGACTATATATACTGTGATCCCAGTATTTCAAACTTAAATCTATATATCCATATATAACATATACACATATGCATACACACACACAAATATTTTAATATTAAAAAATATACCAACAGGCTAATAGGGGCCACATCTGGTTGATGAAGCTTTAAATAATACGTATTTTATTTACATTTTTCTGTACTTTCTATTTTGAAGACGAACTACTTTTATCCTCAGGATAAATGTCTATTTTTTAAAAAATGATTGTGGTACAGTGTTTGGAGAAAGTTTTTAATATATACATATATATATAATATATGTTTTATATATATGCACACACACGTACATATACACAATTATTTTAAAACAAAGCAAGACCACATGTATAAAAAGGATGGGAGAGAAATGTATTAAAATGCTTATAGTGGTTTTAGTGTGATAGGATTATGAGTGTTCCTCTCCTTCCCTTTTCTCTGTTTATCTTTTTTTCAATGTAAAAAATAGATAAACAACCATTCAGGCCTTCTAAACTTGTGGGGAGATTGTTGAACTGAACTGTCCAAATTGATATTTACAAGCATGGTCCTGTGTCTATAGTGTAGTGTGCTGGGGCATGGGGCTGCTGTAGTCCCACTGAGTTTTCAGTGGGTTTTAACAGGAAGTGTCTAGAGGGCTGGAATGCCAGAAGGGGCTAGGGCAAGGTGTATTATTTTCCCTGTTGATCAGCCCATCCTGATCCACCAGTCTAGAAGGAGGATGATAGAGAGTAATGAATTAATGAATAGAACAAGTAAATAAATCATTAGAGTCTTATATGGCAGTGGCACATCAAGACAGGAAGACTCTGTTGTTTCGGTGAGCACTGAAGGAGCTCAGTTATTCCCTATGGCGTCTCCTCTTTTGAGGAGATGTGACTTTCCCTTGAAGGTAATAGCTGTGGTACTTGTTTGTTGATCCTAAAGTGATCTCTGTCAGGGCAGAGAAGAAGCTTGCTTTTCACAGGCCGTATAGATAGTAAAATAGGTAAGACCTTTGAATGACTAGGTATCCTATTTAGAAAGAATCCATGAGGAGGGGATAGCCATTTAAATGTGTTCCTGAAGCAAACATTCCACACAGGGACCACTTTGAAAATCTGCCATGGCCACCTGTTATCGCATCCCCATCTTGGATATAATTTGTTTTTGAAACTGAAGAGCATAGCCTGAACTCATGAAAAAACTTCTGGAAAAGACATGATCCACTTTTACTTTTGTTTCCCAGATTATTTCTGGGACTCATTTATCAGACACACAATGATGCAGAAGCAGTTCCTTTATCTGCCCCATGAGAAACGTAAGCTGGAGGGAAGTTCAGGGCAAAAGTCTTCTCCTCGGATTTGAAGGAATCGAGTCATCTTGTCCTGAGTCTGTTCTCATTCCTCAAGGTCCAATCAGGTGTAACTTCTTCTGTGAAGCCCTCCCTAAGCCAAAGCCTGAAACAGAATCTATCAATCTCGACTTCCTCTTCTCTTCTGTAGTACTTTCTGTTCCACAGTCTTGGTTTCCTGTGTTGGGGGCGTTCTCTGTGCCGCTCATTCAGGCCGGAAACCTTGTCTTATTCATCCTTCTATCTCCCCAAAGCCAGCATAGAGCAGTTGTTCAATTTGTTGAGTTGTATTGAATTTGCAGTTGCAAACTGACTAGAAAACGCATTCCCAAACAAAGTATTTCGGTCCTTCCCAGAGGGAAGGTTTAGACCCAGCAAAGTCGGGAAGGGAGGGCCATGCAAGATGAGAAAATCATGATATGCCGAGGTGTTGTTTGTAGGGAGGCTTACAAAGGGGATTGGGAGTTTCCTTCCCTCTCAGAGTCATTGTGTTAGAGAGAGACTGACAAAGAGTATCTCATTCATCCCTGAATAATGAATGATCTGCCACCAGGGGCACTTCTGGAGCAAAACACTGTATTTATCAAGGGATGCTGCAAAAGCAGCATGTTGGCCTCTGGGAGAGCGTGGTGGCAGAAGAAAGCATGTTGCCCGGAATCAGTCATGCAAGGACATACGCTGAGTACAATTCTGAAGAAATTTTAGGATGAAAAGAAACATCCTGCAGTGGTAGAGAATAAGAGGATATGATTCAGAGAGTGTCGGAATTTTCCCCCTCTTAAATGGAATGAAGACTGACCTGGACAGTCTGCTTTGGCTTTGAGATTTGTTGCATGTACCTAAACAATGATAGTGCCTATGAAGTGAGGGGCCCATATGGGGGAGAACTTTGTTTCTCATTTTGTTTTGTGTGAGGCTTGCTTCTTCTCAACCTGGGAGCTGACCTCTGCTTTGAGCTGCTTGTTTGCATGCACCTGTGACCTTGTGTCTTGTGCAATGAAATCAGTTGTTTATTTTGCTTCTCTTGAGACTGTTTCTAATTATATGCAATTTTGTGTTTGTGTTTCAAATAGGAAAACTCCAGAGATGACAGCCGAGCTCTGGTCCATCAGCTTTCCAACGAGAGTAGACTCTCCATCACTGACTCCCTTTCCGAGTTTTTTGATGCACAGGAAGTTCTGTTATCTCCCAGCTCTTCAGAAAATGAGGTTTGAGCCCTGTTTTTAGTTAGGGGCCTCAAAATCTCTTTTGTTGCTTTACTTGTTCAGTAAATACCCATCTTTAGAAATACTTAACTCGATGGCCTCTTTCTACCATTACATTCTGAGAATCTTCCTGTAACTCCTACCTTAAAAAACACAAAAAGATACAAGACCTTAGGGAAGAGGTTGGAAAAGTAGAAGGTCTTGGGTACTACCTCATTTCTGTTACTTGATTTGTTCTACCTCTTTTCAATTACTTGTTAATCATTTTAACTATTAGCTATTTGATAATGTAATTTATTTCTACCGCAGGGCCTGAAATTAGCATCTTGGGTTTTTTTTAATCAGTGAATTTATCAATATTAATTTATAACATGCCATTATTATATTATGATAATTCTTGTAATATGGCTATTATAATAATTCATTTATAATGTATAATAATAGTGTCTTAAATTGATGCATAAAAATCTTACTTTCCTGAACAAGCAAGTATCGTAGTTGGCATTACTTTGTGAAAATGCAAATTGATAATTTTACCCCTTTAATATAGAAGTACTAATCTTATTTAATTTTCATAGAAGATTCTTTTCTTTCACAAATGGTTAAAAGACAATTTAGAACTCATTCCGTGCAAACACATGTGTAAATGCAGTGTGGATTAATAAGAATTTCTGTAATATTATAGTCTCAAGTTAACTTATGCTTTCTTTGGGATAACTGGTCAAGAAGGTATTTTAATAACATTTTAATAACAGGTGTTTATCATGAGCACCTTCTAGGCAGACTGGTGTATGGGTCTCTGAAAACAACCCAAAATTATTTCTGGAGGTTTATAATGTGGGCTTCAAGATGTTTGATGATTTGGAGTAAAGGTGTGATGATAATCTGGTTTGTTTCTTACTCTAATGTATGTTTCTTTTCCCATAGATTTCTGAAGATGACTCCTATGTCAGTGACATAAGTGATAACCTTTCCTTAGACAATCTCAGTAATGACCTAGATAATGAGAGACAGACCTTGGGTAAGATGTAAATTATTTGATATCTGAAAGCTTGGGTCTTCACAGAATACTAACAAGCATATATAGAGTATCTACTGCAGGCACTGAACTGTAACACATTCTGTATAAGAAAAGATATGCTCCCTTCCCTTGAGGTTTATGTAATCTAGGCGGGAGACAGCACTCGTGTGTGAAAACTGTATTCATTCAGGTTAATTTGTCTGCTCATAAAAATGTCTATTTTATAAAGTGAATGTATACCAATGATCATATAAATATCAAAAATTAGTCCAACAGATACCCCTGATATGGTTACATGTTCTCTCAGCAGACATATTAATATATAGCTTTTTGCCTTTAGGTACCTAGTGGTTTTCATGATTTCATGATTTAGGAATTCTATTATTCTATTATTTATTCTATTATTTATTTTTAAGATTTTATTTATTTATTTGAGAGAGAGAGCAAGCTTGAGCAGGGTGAAAGGCAGAAGGAAAAGCAGACTACCCACTGAGCAGGAAGCCCATGGGGCTTGATCCTGGGACTCCAGGATCATGACCTAAGCTGAAGGTAGGCGCTTAACTGGCCGAGCCACCCAGGCTCCCCTCTAAGTGGTAATTTAGCCTCAGATTCTTCAAGGTAACAAATTTAAAAGTAACCAAAAAAAAAAAAAAAGTAAAAGTAACTGCTACCTCCTAGAGGGGATGATGGGGCTGTCCTGAGATATTCCTTTATTCCTACTTGATCCCAAGAGCAAAGTGATGCCCAAGAAATGTTCCTTTGTACCATGGGATACCCGGAGTGTCTCCCCAAACAGTCCCAATGTAGGAGCTGAAGAAGCAGACTGACGTCTGTTTAAGAAGGTGTCAGCCCTCTGGACAGTTCTCTGCATGGATCCTGTACCATCAGATGTTTGTAGTCCTCGTACTCAGTACGTGTTGGGATCTTGAGGTTTGTCTGTATCACACATGGGGCACCACCTCTTTTCATATCTATCCAGAGGAGAGGGACCATGTCAGTGCTTTTTCTGTGTTGGTGCTTCCCAGGTTAGTAAGTATGTGTGAATTACAATGATGATGAGTTGCCCTCTGAAGGCCAAAGAGCCTACTCTCTGGGGATCATGAAAAAGGCAGGTAATTTTACCATTTTCTAGCAGAACATTCTTTTAGCATCAGACCTGCTAGAAGTTTGATGCTCATTACACTCTATCTTGCTTGAAATGTTCCTGGAGAGATGAACCCTTTGGTGGACAAGTCTGAGAACCAGTGGTTCAAAGGAGAAAGCCAATAATAAGGGAGCTATTTGTTTTTCTAGAAAAACAAGGAGGTGAATTGAAAGAGAGATGAAGAAAAATCACATTCCCTTGACACACAGCTCACACACTAAAATGGCACTCTCACCATGCATGAGGATGACAGACAAACGCTGAAGCCCTCATTCTCTCTGAGGCCTTGGGGAGGGGCCAAGGGGAGTGCAAGGCTAGAAGGTTCAGAGGTTGTAGTTGGAAATGGAAGACTTGTCCCAGAATGTAGGACCACAGCTGTGCTGAGCTGACATCAGCCAGGAAAAGCATTGAAGCTAGGGCTGGTTCACTCCATCCTGTTCCACAGCCATTTTGCTGGAATGCTGACCAACACATTGCCTTGGCTTGAACAAACACTGGGCCAAAACCAGCTTTCTTCTTCAGCAGTATTTAGAAGTAAAAATAGGTGTCTTCCAGTTTGACTGTCTCCACTGAAGGTTAGACTTCTAAACCTCAGTACTCTACTGAAAAGACTGGATGTAGAAATAAAATGTGCATCTTATGACACACTTTTGCCTACAAAATGAAATAGGTATTGAATCCAGTTCTTGATAAATTAAGACAGGAGAATTTTTCTGAGCCCATAGGAAAGGCTAGATATTTAGAGTTCTTCCTGTTGATTTATTCCTTCCCAAATCAGGAGGTAAATATTAGGATCCCCTGTCACTATGATGGGTGTTGTGGGAGGTTCCGGGTTTAGGAATATGGATTCATGACCAAATTCTCTTGGTTAACCTCAGCTCTCCCATTCACTGGTACTGTGTTCTAGGGCAAATTACTTAAGAGATGATATATGTAAAGTATACATAAAAATATGTAAGGTAATATATGTAAAATGCTTGAAGACCTGCTGCTCCAGAGTAAAAACTAGATAGATACTAGTTATTTGTTGATAATAGTCGTCATGTAGTGTTGTTTCAAAATCTAGGTTAGTGTAATCAGAGAAAATATTTTGAGATGACGTGGAAAACTGTTCTTAAAAATTACTTTTATTTGCAGCTATTTACTTGAGTAAATCAGATTTTTGCTTATGTCAAGCAATTAAATTCAACAATTAATTGGATGCTTAGGTTACTGTGAGACTGCAAAGTATGATCCCAGTTTCATACTTTTCTGTTTATCAAAGCAGCCTCTTTATTCAGAGCTATTGGCTTTACAATGAGTAAATGTTAAATATTTCTTTTTAATAGATAAATATATGCAGATAAAATGCCCCTTTCTCATATGTTGCTGATATTTTGTTTGAGAATAAGCTCAGTTGGGATGGGAAAAGAATGTCAGAGCCTGAGCCAATGCAAGTGTCACAAAGGAAAAGACTCGTAGATGCAAATGTTTGTTTCATCAATGAACCACATCGACTAAATTTAAAGATAAATGCCAAACAGTGATTTGATTGTAAAACAACTATAAAAAGAAAGAAATATTTCCTGGTTAGAAATAGAAAAGCAGACAATTCAGGAAAGAAGTATTTACGAAAGCATTCCAAATCACCCTAGGAATTTTTTTAATGAAGGTTGAAACAAGGAAATAACACTGTCCAAATTTCAAAAATTTGCCAAAAATTGAAAACAAATGATGATAATCCTGGAAAGGTCTCAAGAGATGGACACCCATGTGCTGCTGGTAAATAGGAAATTGATGCAGCGTTTTTGAGGAGCCATCTGATCCTATGAATCAAATGTCTAAAAATGTTCATAGTCTTTGACATAGTAATTGCATGTCTACATATCCGAAGCAAATACTCAGAAATATAATCAAATCTTAAGAATATAAATAGTCACTAGTGGATTTTTTTTTTTTTTTTTTGCCTCATAGCAAAACATTGAAACAAATCTATAAGCTCAATAATAGAGGAATGATTTAGTAGATTTAAGGCATATTCATAGCATGGAATTTCTTTTACAGTCATTATAAATGATATTTTAGAAAAATATTAAATAACATAGAAAAATAATTAAGGGAATATGCAGAACATAAAACTAGATGTGCTATATGAGCTCTGTGGTTGGAGAAAATACTACGTGAAAATATTCCAAAATATAAACAGCTACTATTTGTAGGTAGTAAGATTAATGGAAGACTTTTATTTTCAGTACCATTTTTTTCTGTAATAAACAATTGTTGTTATCAGAATTTGAAGAGATATTTAAAGGCTTTAGAGTTTTTAATCGGGGATACCTGGGTGGCTCCGTTGGTTAAGCGATTGCCTTTGGCTCAGGTCATGATCCCAGGGTCCTGGTATGGAGACAGCATTGGCTCCCTGCTTCTCCTTCTTCCACTCCCCTGGCTTGTGCTGTCTATCTCTCTCTCTCTCTCTTTTTTTCAAATAAATAAATGAAATCATAAAATCTTAAAAAAAAAAAAAGATTGTCTTTAACAAAGCAGAGTTTGTAGTGCTTTCTAAAAATTAGAAGAGTCGGGGTGCCTGGGTGGCTCAGTGGGTTAAAACCGCTGCCTTCTGCTCAGGTCATGATCCCAGGGTCCTGGGATCGAGCCCCTCATCCCGCTTGCTGCTCATCAGGGAGCTTGCTTCCCTTCCTCTCTCTCTGCCTGCTTCTCTGCCTACTTGTGATCTCTATTTGTCAAATAAATAAATAAAATCTTTGAAAAATAAAAATTAAAAAAAAAAAGGAAGAGTTTAGGAACATCTGGGTCGTTCAGTTGGTTAGGCATCTGACTCTTGATTTCTGCTCAGATGTTGATCTCTGGGTCAGGAATTCAAGCCCCCTGTCAGGCTCCACTCTGGGAATGGAGACTTCTTTAAAAAAAAAAAAAAAGGTAAAAAAAAAAAATAGTAAAAATAAATAAATAAATAAAAACACAACCTGAAGAGTTTAAAAGTATAGATAGTAACTGCTACGAGCATAGAAATCCAGTTTCCAGTTTTACCCTAAGTATATTTAAGCTTTGTGGCACTGGCTTCTGAGTAAGGGACTTGAAGACCTCCCTGTGAATAAAGTCCGTGGGTTTTAGCGCACGTCATTTTCGGTGCTTAGTCGAGCTCTGCGGCATTCATTTTCTGGCTTTCAGTCCTAGATAACTGAGATTAACAGTAGAATCGAGTACTTGCTGGGTCAGGTTTTTATTTCTGTGGTTTTTTAAGTAATATAATAAAAAGTCCTCTAGAAACCATGGGGCTGAATTCCCTTTCAGGGCCTGTGCTCGAAAGCAGCGGCGAAGCCAAGTCCAAGCGAAGAACTTGCTTGCCGGCACCGTGCCCCAGCGCCAGTGCCGTCAGCCTGTGGAACATCCTGCGGAATAACATTGGGAAGGACCTGTCCAAAGTGGCCATGCCCGTGGAGCTGAACGAGCCCCTGAACACGCTGCAGCGGCTGTGCGAGGAGCTCGAGTACAGCGAGCTCCTGGACAAGGCCGCCCAGATCCCCAACGCCTTGGAAAGGATGGTGAGGAGTTAACCTTCCCGCTGGGTGGTCCTGTCGTCCCCCGCAGCCCCCCAGCCTGGCCGCCCCCAGGCCCTTCCTACGGCCAAGCAGAGCTAAGCCAGGCTGAGCCAGAGCTCTGGGCGCGCCTCTGCTCATCGTCTGGATTCTTCTGCGGATGGGTTCCTGTCTCACCAGCCTACAGTTCCCCTGTGCCTAGCGGTTTGCAGTCATGTGTCAGGAGTTGGCATTTGGTGGGGAGCTTCTCTGTGACGGTGCCTCTGGGTAGTTCAGCTCTGAGGTGTCACGCTTCCTTTTTCTCCAGAACCTTCCAAGGGATTGTCCCGATATGCCTGACTGGAAACCATATTTTGAAGGCTGTCTGCATGTTTATTTTTTACTATCCTGGGTGGACAGAATTTAATTTCTCAAGCTGTTTTTCCTGTCCAGGGTATATTTCCCTTGAGAATGCTTTGTTTATTCTTGGAATGGTCCCACAATCAACTAGATTTTTGAAAATAACATTCATAGTGGAGGCTTTTACATAAGAAAGATGATTGTTCCAACCCTACTCTGATGCTATAGAGTAAGTTAAAAAAAAAGGAAAGGGAAAAAAAAGGCTCATCTTAGAAAAATTCGCCTTCTGTTCTTTACTCAGTATTACTTCTGATCAAGTGATGGGCTGGTCAGTGAACGGTTCCCCAGGTGTTTCTCATCTTTCCTCTGTCTTGTGGGGTGGAGAGAATGGACCCTGGTGGTCGGGTGACAGCCAAATCAGCCCTCTCTGTGACTAGCTGACTGTTCTTTGACACTGAGTGTCCCTTCCTCTCTTGGCTCCCTCATATGTTACCTGCTTTCACGGTAAGGTCATTGTTGGTATGGGTGGCTGGACCTCAGTGTCTTCCCCCGAATGCAATCTCTGTGCTGGGCATTTGCTTGTGGGCTAAATTGGAGTTGGCATACCTCCCTGGGCTTCGTGGACCTGACCCTAAGTCGTTCTCTCGCTGATGGAGGACATCATTCTTTTCTAAATTCTGAGTGTTTCCTAGTTTTGACCCTTCCTGAAACTTCTTTACATTAGTGATTTGAAGATGAAGAGAGCTATGGACAAGAGATGCATCCCACTGTTCCACGGTCTCCAGGGACTTCTCCGTCAAAGAGAATTTCTTGATAACTAATGATAATAAGACTAAGAAAAAAGCTGCTCTGTGTTTTTTATCTTCTTTGTTATTCTTTCCTAGAGAATTTCTGCTGAACAAAGGGAGGCAGATGGCTTCTAAAGCAAGTGTGGAAAGTCAACATTTGTGGACAGCTCTTTTCTTAAAAGACTGACTTTAAAGATGAAACTATTCTTCATGGTGTTTCATTCTTATAGAAATTTAGAGACTCTTAGAGTGTCAGCTGATTGATTGGTGGACTTGACCTTGAGAAGGACTTTGAGGGAAGGCTTTGCGTTCCACTACAATGCACCTGGAAGGGAAAGGACAGGAAGGCATTGCACAAGAACCATAGCTGTGGGTTGTTCACTGCTCTGCAGGTCTGCTCATGCCCCTGCATGGGATCCCTCTCAGGTCACCGGCCTAGGAGGGGGATGCTTCCGTGTGCCTGCTCCCTCACTCCCTTCTCCCCCCAGCATTAGGAATGACACCAGATTCTGTTACATTTTAAATTGTGCCAGGCTTTATTCAACATTCCATATAGACAGTGTGAGCTTCCTGTTTAACAGGTAACCAATATGTAGGGAAGCAAAGAGAGGCACAGATCCCCAGATTTCCAGAACAAAGACAGAATTGAGTAAACTGAATTGATTTTTATAAGCCTCCAGATGCTCTACAGTATTCTGTAGTGTGAGTGGAAAAGTGGGTCCTATATGCAAAAGGCTTAAGAAAAGTAATGTGACTAGTGAACATTTATGAAAGGCGCTCAGCTTTCTCCCCCAGTATAAGAAACCTCCTGGAATGTGCTGGGAAGGGGAGGCCTTGAGATTGTTACTCACTGGTAGAAAGGGGAAGTTGCTATCACTACCTAGGTTCAATGTTCTGTACTCGCCCCTCCCCAAAAAAGACTAGAAAAATAATGTGTCTTTTTGGTGGCCTGAAAGGAGAACTGATAAAAATGCTGAGAGCGTCACAGAGAGTGCTTATTTCATGTTTATCTATAGCCTGTCCTTCCTTTGCCTTTTGATTTTTCATTTTTCCTCCCAGAAAAGCCAGATTCTTTCAAAGGCACTGTGTCCTGTCCCGTGGTTTGTTACAGAAAACTCAGGAAATTGCTATCACAGATTTTTTTTTCTTTTTTATTTTTTTTAAGATTTTATTTATTTATTTGACAGATGGAGATCACAGAGAGGCAGAGAGAGAGGAGGAAGCAGGCTCCCCGCTGAGCTGAGAGCCTGATGTGGGGCTTGATCCCAGGACCCTGGGATCATGACCTGAGCCAAAGGCAGAGGCTTTAACCCACTGAGCCACCCAGGCGCCCCACAGATTTTCTTTTGTCGGAATTAGTTTGTAGGTTTCCACAGTATCTAGTTAGGAATGGTTGCTTTTCCTGAATTCTGAGGGGAGTTTGGCTCCTTTAATGTTTTTTTCTCTCTCCTTCCTGAGAATTAGGATTATTATCAGGTTAGAGCTACTGGACTTGGCTGAACAGCTCATGAACAGGGGAGCTCACTTGATAAATATCATCCTCTTGAAAGCCTCTACCAACTGACATTAGGACAGATGGGCCATTTGCAAATGTTTGCTTTGTTTGTCTCTGGGCCAAAATGAACTTTATTTAAACCTGCCACTTTAAACCAAAGTTGGTTTGGTTGTCTCTAAACCAGAGATAAATTGTTGGCTTTCCAAAATAAACCATCAAGGGAGAAATTTGTTTTGTTTATGTCTTTGTTTGTTTAAAAAAATGTTTGTTTGTTAAAGAAATAATAAAGTTCTTTCCTCCCTCTCCTCAGGTGTACGTGGCCGCCTTTGCTGTCTCGGCATATGCGTCTAGCTACTTCCGAGCTGGGAGCAAGCCCTTTAATCCTGTTCTCGGAGAAACGTATGAGTGTATCCGTGAGGACAAAGGCTTCCAGTTCTTTTCAGAGCAGGTGGCTATCTACCCTTTTTGTTTGTTGTGTACCCCTTTATATCGGCTTGCACTGAAGGAGTCACTCACGCCTTCTATTACATGTGCTTTTGAAATATTTATTGTCTGCCATTCACGGGCTTTAAAGCAACCGAGATAATTACAGTGCATTTACACATAAAGGGAAAGAACCATTTCCCTTCCACTGAAACCTGACCACCCCCGTGAGCAGGAAGGCACTTGCGAGGCAGCGCCCGCCTTTGACAGCAGGCATCCACAGTGCCCTCTGTCAGAGGTAAAGCCATAGGGAGACAGATTTTCAAAGGGTGAAGCATTTGCCCAAACTGATCTAAAGATTTAAAGTGTACACCCTTACTCATTGACCTTGTCCTTCTGGGGTATGAACGTCACTATGGAAATGGGTAGCACCAAAGAAAGACATCGTTCTTGATTTTATTTAAGAGGAATCATTCATTCATGTATTTATTCATTCAATCAATCAATAACTATTTCTTGAGCGTGTAAAACCTACCCAGCATTGTTCTAGGTGCAGGGAGACGGCAGTGGGATGGGGGCTGGGGGCTGGCAATGCCTGTTTTCATCTGTTGGGTGGACATACTTTATATTGATATAGCCTGCATTCCTTGAAGTTCGTTGAGACTTTCCCACATAAGCATTAGAAGATAACAATATTCGAGAAGAAAGAGCAGGGTCTCTGGGGTCAGCCTAGGTTCAAATCTCAACTCTGACTCTCACCAGGTTTGTAACACTGGGCAAGTCGCTTAACCTCTCTATGCCTCAGTTTCCTCTTTAAAGCTGAAATAATGACAGTGGTTACAGACCTCAGATGGCTTTGTGATGATTAATTGAGATACTCTCGACCACGGGCTCGGCATGGTGTCGTATGTGGAGGATGAAGTGTGATAGGAGTGTTTGTGGTCGTGATTGATACATGACACCATGGTTTGGAATAGTGGGATACTGGAACATCCTGAGTATCTGTTGGTAAGGAATTGTTTAGCTGAAATAGGATGTCTTAATACTGAAAATAAAAAAGACTCCTCTCACCTCTAGTTAAGACAACAATCCAACATGTCCACCCTCCGCATATCCCTAAATGTCAGCCTGGGAGCATTAAACACATTTGCTTCTGTACATTTCTCTCCTCCCAGTTCTTGGAAAACTGAGGGAAAATGGGTGGGACACTAGCATGTTATTTTCCTTCCTGTTATCTTGCTCTGACCCCTTTGTCAATGGATTTTCATCCTGCAGGTAGAAGTGGAAAGGCCTGTAGCTGAGGGACTTAGGAGGCTGGTGCTGGTCTTCATTGTCAAGGACAAGCAGTGTTCTCCAAGATTCAAAGGCAAAGGAATATACCACAATCCCAAAGTACATTTTTAGTAGGTTTCCAGTTAGAAGCTAAAACAAATTAAATATGGATATCGAGGAAGTGAGAGTTAAATCAGTAGTTAAAAGGAAAAGATAATTCGATTCAAATTCAACTGGGTTATTTAAATACCAAAGCTAAAATGGAATGGGAATAAATGAAAATGTGATTTGGTTACCATGGCATTATATGCACTCATGTGAGGAAATAACGGCCCGAAATAGCCCAGACTACAGCAGACAGTCAGGACAGGATGAATGGTGTAAGGAAAGAGTAGTAACGTGGGCTTCACGTGAAGCTGAGCTTCCATTCCATGAGCCCCCGGCGGGGGGACCTGCTTGTGCACCTCCAATGGTGGCACGGAGCGAGAAAACAGAGCTCCTGGACGTGTGTGTACAAAAACAGAAAGAGCATTACATAACTCAGTCTGTGGTTCCGTGAAATGGATCCCCAGGAAATAAGCAAGAAAGAGATCTGATCATTGTTAGCAGTATAGGGTGTGCAGGTGTAATGGAGACCTGCTTTCATACCCTAACCCCAGCACTTCTGTGTGTGGCCTTGGATAAGCTACTTAAACTTTCTGAGCCTCAACAGCGTCTTTCTCTCTAAAACAGGAATGATAATGCTGAACCCCTAGGCTGCCGTGTGCCTCGGGCGAAGGGCTACACTGAGGTATAAAATACTCCCACTGAAGACAGTGAACATTCTGCACTTGGCTGTTGCTCTTCTTGAGGGCAACTTTTTGAAAATGCTTTTTACTGCGCCATGTTAAGAATAGTAAATAAGGTGTATAATTCAAGGAGTTTGAAGCAGGCAGACTGTCCCTGGCGAGTCTCTAACAGAAAGTCAGCCATGTGGGCTCACCAGTCCCCATCTTGCTGGAGCCCCATCATCTGCCTGGAATTTAAGCCTCAGGGCCTCAGAGAGCTGGTTCTTTGAGGACACCCAGGAACGGAAGAGTCTCTCAAGGACAGAGTCGCCTTAGCTAAGCCTTTAAGAAACTGATCTATAAACTAGAATGCCATTCTGTGCATTTGCTGTAAAGAGTAGGCCTGACCTGGGGACCCGCAGGTTTTGGTCACAAGACCAGGCATCCCTCTCCCCATACACAGATGACTTGGGAACCAGAATTTCATCACCAGGTGAGCGTAGAATGAGAAGGAGAGGCGGCTGTTGAATTCGAGGTGCTCAGCTGCCCACGGCCCCAGGAGTGGTAGGGGTTTGGGGCAGGGCCCCCGGGAGACACATCAGCTCAGCCTCCTGTGCTCCCTCTCCCAGCCTCATTTATGCCACCCGCTGACTCACTGAGCACAAAGACCGTCTATGTCTAATTTCTTAGACTTAGACACACTGACAGAGCATGCTGGGCTGCTTGGTGGGTTGCATGTTGGTACCTGCCAGCGCGGCTCTTCCTGCTCCTGGCCCGGGAGATGTTCTGCCTTGTGGGAGACAGCACGCGGCTCCCAGCAACGCATTACATATGGGCGCTACACGTCGGCTTTCAGAGCTCGGGGCCTGCTTTGCCTTCTGGTAACTCTCTACAGCGAGTCGCATGTACTGAATGACTAGTAAGCTGGGTAGGACTCCCAAACTAGTACTTTTGGGTGGGATTTTACTCTAACAAGGATGCTGACGGAACTCACTTACCCCAGCGAAAGGAAACTAGGGTAACTCGGCTCTTCTGTGGAGTTTTCGAGATTTGAAATGCTACATCTATCCTTCACTCCAAGCCTTTGAACGGTGTTGTTCTGTGGTTTGGGTGGGGATGTGGTTGTTCGAAGTGGTCAGTGGCTGAAGACACTGAAATAATTGCTTCTTCACAGAGTTTGGCCTCATACCAGCTTGCTCCTCTGTGTCGTCTCTCACCCCAAAGACCCCAAAATGCCCCATCAAAATGACTCATGCGGTCAGAAACCAGAGGAAGCGCTTGGCTGCTCAAAATTTTCTTCACAACAATGAACAGTTAGGTTCAGAGTCCTTTGTGCTTTTCACACTCGCACAGACTCTTACTTGATTTTCAAAATACCCGCTGTGTGGCAGGTGAGGTGAGGATGAGTCAGAGGCAGGGAAACTGAGGCCTGGAGCGTTCGCCTCTCCCAGTGCCCACTGTTGCCCTGCAGTGGCCTCCCTCCCTCACCAGTCTTGGGATCTCTCGTAGGTGTAGTTACTGTGCTCCGAGCTGCCGGGGTCATTGGCTTCTGGTGAGAAAAAAGCGCTCCGTGTGCTGATCAGACTCTGGGACTTGGCCTGCCCTTGTCACTTAGACCAAACGAAGGTAGGACTTTGTGCCCAGCTCCCATTGTGCTCTGGGGCATGACCTTTGTGAATAAGCAACATTTGGGAGTAAATCATAAACATTCCTGTCCTGCGTTCCACCCTCCGGCTGTACCACCTTCTCTGGGGAGGACTTTGATGTGCCGAGAACTGTGTGATTCAGCCTTAGCCGTCTAAATAAGCTCCGAAAAGGGGGAATTCAGACAGGACTTCCTTTTTCTCCTCAGGGATCAGTGTCCTACTGACAGGTTCTTCCTGACTTGGTTCACCTGCCGCCTGGCAGACAGCTAAGCAGCTGGCTTGGAGCGTCATCAGAGACGGGGTTCAAATGAGACTGGTTCAGAAAACTGATTTCAGTTAGCGTTGCTTCTGTTTGTAGACCTTTGGGAAAGGTCTGGTATCTAAAGGCTGTGCAGTTAAGCTATTACCTAAAAGATCATTCCTGATGATCTGGAACTTCAGTTCTCGGATGACTGTTGGGGCCATTCTAACCATTTACTCCCCCTAGGTCCCCTCCCCCAGCCACCTGCTGTTTAGAGTTTAGGACTGAAAAGTTAAATGGAGTTATTGGCAGTCACTAACCCATAAAAGACTCAAATGAAGTCTTTTTTTTCCCTTTGCTCCCTGGCCTCGGCCCTCCTTGCTTTTCTGTTACTCATCACGAGAACTATGAACATACATTCTTGGACGGACTTATAAATACCATGCTTATCACTTCTCTCCCTACGTGTTCACTCACAATAAAATAGCTCTTTTATCTATTAACAGGCAGAGTTTGTCACTACTGATTAAAGTGGCATCTTATTTAAAGAGGTTTTCAGAAGGGAAATTCAGGCTGTTCAAAGAGAACTAACGATGGATCAAATCCAAGGCTGCTAAACCAGTGTTCTCCACTTCTGGGTCAAGTTATCATTTAATGTGTGTTTTGTTTCTGCTTTTGAAAAGAAGCCATAGGCTTGTCAAACAAAGTGATGAATCCTGAACGTGCAGGAAGAGAAAATAATTGGCAACTGCCTTCTCCCCCCCAAAATCAGGCCAGCAACTTTGGCATCATCCTTAATAGCGTTTTCTTAGAATCCATATCCTATTGATCAGCAAATCCTGGGGTCTTCCTTCAGAAGCCTTCCTTCCACAGCCAGCAATTTTCACTGGCTCCCCCACTGGTGTTGGCCTCCAAGCCCAAACCAAGGTAATCAATGACTAGGATCATTGCAGTAGACTCATTAGCAGGTCTCTTGTTTCCATAGCCAGTTTCTCACCCAAAAGCCAGAGTGATTGCTTCAACACAGGAGCAACACCTGCTCAACACCCTCCAATGATTTCCCCTGTCACTTGGAATAAAATCCAAAGTCCTTGCCATGGCCCCACAAAGCCTTCTCCCCTCCCCACGGAGATACTAGCCCCAGAGAGGATACCTCTCCCACCTCTGCTCATTCAGTGTCAGCCGCACTGGCCTTCTGCCTCTCTTAAAACATACAGAGCGTTGGCTAGCCCTCAGCAGTGCTCGTGTCCTCTCCCTCTGATGCGCTTCTCCCGGTTTTCCATGCGGTGCACTTCCTTATTTCTCCTAGCCCCAGAGGATTTCATGGTAGAGTGTCTTGCCCCTACTGCCCTGTCTGGAATAGCACTCCCACTTACCATCCTCCCATCCTCATGCCTTGCATTCTTCTCCTTAACACCTGTTACTACCGACAAATTTCTTTATCTATGTTATCTATTTCTTTATTTCCTTATCTATCTTGCCCACTTCTGCTCCAGAATGTTTTCTATCCCCAGGGATTAGGACAGCTCTGGACACATCAGAGGCAGTCAGTAAACGATGAACACTCCTGCGCCTGCATGATTTCTCACCTGGCATTCGTCCTCTCTCCTACAAGCTGTCCTTCGAGGTTGGAGGCGAGCCAGGGACTAGGTAGACTCTATAGTTAGGTCTTCAGGCAGCTGCAGAAGTGATGTATTTAAGGGAGACTCTTCTAAATCTGAAAAAGATATACTCACAAATACACAAATATTAAAATATACTCTTTCCCCATCTGCTTCTCGCCATACCACTCGCCTCTTATATAAAGTACCTTTAAAACAAATAAAAAATGTCAGGTCAGGGTAAGAAAGTCTTGAGAGATACAAATAAATGACAGGAATTCTCAAATAGTAGGGAAACTCACTGACTTTGGGCTTGTAGAAAGAAAGTTACATAAAAATACCTGAACAGTAAGGACCATATGTACTAAATTCCTGAATGTTTGGGGATCTTTACCAGTTAGAGATTGCTCTGATTTGGGATGGAGAGGAAGAAGCAGAGAGGGATGCTAGAAACCCGTCTAAACTGGATTTACCCTGTAAGCTGACAGACATTGTCTCCTTCAGGGCTGGGTCAGTTCAGACTCAAAATCAAATAACTTTCTGAGTTACATCTGGGTTAAGATGTAACGAGAATAGAAACTCAACCAAATCCAACACTAAGGTTATATTGTGCTCATCATTCTCTGTTCCAGTAGATTTTAGAAAGATTGCCGTCAACAAAAATTAAGTCATGAGCCTTGAATTACCCCCTTTCAATGGGCCTTCGAGTTCATCAAAGTCTTAGTATAATCTTTTCCCAATTGGCTGACACATCCGCTGGTGCTGGGATTTGAAGAGACACTGAGAATTAGATTTAGAGCGTTTTGAAGTCAGAGAGACCCTCAGACCTCATTTTACAATGACATAAATGAGACTCAGAGAAATTGGAAGTTCAGACTCAGAAGATTCTTTGTCTAAATATCCATGCAATGGGATCTTAACTGTGTGTGGAGGCTTTGGGGAGGACCAGAGCCCAGCTTTGAAAGCGGCCATAGAGACACAGCCGGGACATAAAGGAAAACACTGGATTTGAAATCAGAGGACCTTGATTTAAAGCCACCCCCAATTAACCATGTAGCATTGGAGAGGTTCTTTGTTTCCTAATGTATAAAATAAGACTAATGAAGACATGAGGTCAAGGTCACCATGATGACTAAATGGAAATACTACTCCTGCAAATGGCTAAATTTTAGTCCCTGCCCACTTCATACCAGCACAAGATCCTATAATTTCATGTGTCATCTTTTTGTTTGCAAAACCAGTGGTATGAGCCTTATTTTATAGATGAGGTAACTCAGGCCCAAAGACTTAAAAACTTGCTCAAGGCCCTTCAGCCATTAGATGACATTGCCGAGTTAAGACCTGCATCTCTGGGGCTCCAGAAGCCCCCCCCCCCCCATTCCCTGATGCTAGTGTGGCACACGGCACATGCTCCAGAAATGTTTCATGAATAAATACCTGTGGTGAGAAAATATATCCATGAAAAAATCAGACCTCATTTCAATTTTCCTGGGAAGCTTTGTAAACTTCTTAAAAGCAATGTGCACCAAATAAATCACTCCCAAAGGCCCTTTTAAGCCAGAAAAAACATAAGCAAAATCATTGATATTTGACCATTGAGATTTATTAATTCAGAAAACCGATTTTGGGGGCGCCTGGGTGGCTCAGTGGGTTAAAGCCTCTGCCTTCGGCTCGGGTCATGGTCCCAGGGTCCTGGGATCGAGCCCCGCATCGGGCTCTCTGCTCAGCAGGGAGCCTGCTTCACTTCCTCTCTCTGCCTGCCTCTCTGCCTACTTGTGGTCTCTGTCTGTCAAATAAATAAAATAAAATCTTTAAAAAAAAAAAAAAAGAAAACCGATTTTGAACCCACATAAAGGTCTTCTGCTAAGCACTGATTCATGTGTCTGATACAATAGTTCTAAAAGGTCAAAGTTGCATTTTCATGGGTGTGTATAGATTTTATGGTATGATAGCGCTTCTTTTATAGTTCATGTGGATAGTATATTTATCCCAGTTTTACGGGATTTAAAATTATTACAGAAGAGATTTATAGTTTGTATATGCTGTACTTTGCTTTGATGTTTGATGTTTGTAGCCAGATTTGGCCACACCTATGAAATGCCACAGTCTTAATCAAGACTGCAAACCTGACATTTTTTACCACATTGTTTATGTGGGAATGACTATGATCTACTTTTAATTATCTACTTTAAAATATGCCTACATTCTCGGGGAAGGGGAACGTTCCATAGCTCCTCACCTGCTGTACTGGGGAGTAGGTGGGGGGAACGGAGGAAGAAATAGGGTGCAGGTTGTCTTCCCTGATTTAGTTTTATATGATCCCAAGGTGTAGTAGTTAACTCCACTATTTTCATTGTGAGCTGTTGTGGGAGGAAGGGGGAACAGGAATGCCTCATTTTGTGACATTAAATATCTCCAAGGAGTTCAATGACAAAAAGACAATGAAGGCCAGAAGAAGACTTAGGCTTCTAAACCCTGCTAAAAGTGAATCTTGCCCTAAAAAATCCCATAGGGGGTACCTGGGTGGCTCAATCGTTAAGCACCTGCCTTTGGCTCAGGTCATGATCCTGGGGTCCTGGGTTCAAACCCCACATTGGGGCTCAGGCCTGTTGCTCCCTCACCTTCTGCCTGCCGTTCTGCCTACTCGCGCTTTCTCTCAATCTCTCTGTTGGAGGGAAAAAAAAGTTTAAAAAAAAAAAAAAGAAAATCCCATAGGTACAGAGAGGGGCTACATTCTTAAGAGGCCTGTGGGAATGAAAACCATCCAAGGGGTAGCAAATTTGCATCTCCTACCTCGTATCAGATCTGGCATTTATGTTCCTTGAGACCTGAAAGATACGTGGACTCTTGAGATCTTTGTCTCTACTTTTCTTCGGGTCAAGTTGGTAAAGTTGAAATTCCGTCAGTTACGTGTGCATGCAGAACGAGTCTGTACTAGCCTATCCTATCCCAGAGTTCTCCGCCAAAGGAACAGGCCCATACAAGTGGTTTTCAGACCCTGTTCCTCATTACAGCTGAGGGTCCAGGGCAAGGCGAGTGACTGGAGATGGGTCACCTCCCCACTGAAAACCACTGATGTAAACCTAAAGTGCTGAGGTTTACGTCTGTTTCTTTCCTGTCGGAGTGTTTGGGAAACACTGCTGAATTTTTCTGATGTTGGTCTCTTGGGTAATAGACAGGCGTTAATTAGGCTAGATGCTCTAAATGTAAGATACTTGCTAAGAACTAGCTAAGTCAGACAAACTTTGAAACACTGCTGACAGCATTTGTCTGATTTCACTGGTCCTGAACTGTAATTGTAATATGTACACCGCTCACTTGCCTCGAGTTACTAAGGAAATGAGGAAACCCAGCTCTGGAGCTGGGTTTTCTCTTTAACTTCTTCATTAGTGAACAGCACAGAAGTAATGACCCCAGTGACAAAACCCAGAGAAATGTGCAACAGTCTCCATTGTGGGGAATTCTCTTTCCTGGAACAAAATTACATATTTACTCAAGATTTTTTTTTATCTTGACAGAAAATGAATTAGATGTTTTCCTTAGCAGTTGACTAACATTTCTTCAATAATTGCTTGGCTCTTTTATATAGAAACATTACTCTTGGGGTGTCTGGGTGGCTCAGTTGGTTAGGCGACTGCCTTCAGCTCAACTCATGATCCTGGAGTCTGAGGATCAAGTCCCACATCGGGCTCCCTGCTGAGCAGGGAGTCTGCTTCTCTTTTGGCCTCCCTCCCACACCGTGCTCTCTCTCTCTCTCTCACACATTCTTTCTCTCTCAAATAAATAAATAAAATTTTAAAAAATAAACATTATTCTTTTAAAAATTTTCTTGAACCAGTCTTTTTTTTTTTTTTTTTTTACGATTTTATTTATTTATTTGAGAGAGACCCTGCTTTTGTTCTTACATCTTTCAAAACGTGTCTCTATCCCCAACATTTACCTCTTGGCTGTTTTTCCTGTACTTTGGGAGGCTTCCATGCACCTGATTTCTTCTCAGTCCTCGGCAAGATGAGCAAATTGGGGCTGGCTGTATGAGGAGCGCCCTCTTGAGGACCAACTTGTTGAAGGAAAACTGAAGTTTTCATTCACTTAGACACTGTACATTGTGTCACCTCTCAGGGCAAGGGCAAAGGAACGGATTTCATGAGACACAAAAGTGAACTAATTTTTTGTTTTCTGCCCTTTGTTTCCATCAGGTCAGCCACCATCCACCTATCTCTGCATGTCACGCTGAGTCTGGAAATTTTGTTTTCTGGCAAGGTAATGTGCTCATATATTTGGCCTGCATCGCTTTTTGTAATGTTCTAGAGCTATTTTATTCAAGAACTACTGGAATAAAATAGCTATATTTTATATAGCTATGTTTTATATATTTTATATATAAGAACTACAGGTGCTTATGAAGATCACAGGTAGGCCCTGGACTTGGGTCTTGTTTTATGGATCTACACCACTTGGCATTCTTGCCTGTCATCCCTGAACAATTTCCAACACCTGTCTACTTCATAATTAAGGATTCAGGAAGATAATCTAGTTGTTCCCTTAAAAAAAAAAAAAATTCTCCATCTGTGTCTGGGCCACCACCACTTATTCCTGTAACTTTTTCTCTAATTCCCCAGCCATTTGAAATGTCTTGTGTATTCAAGAGACACTAAATATTTATAGGTATTTATCAGAGTTTAGACAACAGGGTTCTTCTTGCTTTTGAAAAGTTTTGATTTTATTTCTAAACAGTACATTTTAGATTGCTGATTTTTTTTAGTTTGGCAGTTATCTCCGTTTGTATTTTGGATTTGGGAGGAGGGTGAATTGTTCTGAAGAATAAGTAAGACTGCAAATATTTTCTGAATGGATTAATTAATTTTGTCAACATATATTTATTCGAAGGGCAAGGAAAATTTGAGCATCCTGGTTTTTCAAACAATGAGCACACACATCAAACTTGAAAGCATTTTTCTCTGTCAACAGTGATGACACTTGATTTACTCCTTTGCCATTAAAAAAAGCTCCTTTCCCCACCCCAGTTCCCAGCCAACCAGTTTCTTTCTCTGGAGACAATACTACCAGTTTAGGGTACAAGTACTGTAGTACTTTTTCTGAATCTTCTAAACTATTAAAGTTTAGAAGTGAAGCTTGCTTAGAAACACCTCTAACTTTCACTGAAACCCTCTGGGAATAATTCTTATAATATCTCTAACCTTCTAATTGCTAAATGTCTTTGACCCTGTAAGCCCTTTATTATTATTTTTAAGTTACGGATAATATGGATTTTCTCCAGTTAGTTTCTGTGTGCTCCTTACCTTACATGACAGTTTTCTCCTTAGCCCTCTTCTTTTCTTCCTCATCAGCCTTTTCCTGGGCAATCTCACCTATTCGCATAGACTCACAACTCCCAAATCTTGCTTTTTAAACCAATCTGACATTTCTCTATCTTTTAACCAGGTTGTTTAGGGCATTTACATTTATTATCATTATTGATGTAGATGGATTTAAATGTGGCCTCTTAGTATTTGTCGTCTGTTGTTATCTGTTCTTTGCTCCCTGTTTTTTTCTGCCTTCTTTTGAACTGAGTACTTTCTATGATTCCATCATATTTCCTTTGTAGACTTCTTAGCTATACCTTTTTGTTTCATTTTTTTAGTTATTACTTTAGGCTTTATATTATATATGTTTAATATATCATAAGTCTATCTTCCAGTAATAATATGCCACTTACATATAAGAAACTTACACATATACTTCCATTTCCCCTCTCTTAACCTTTGTAACTATTACAGAAGTAATGTTTATTTATGTATGTTATAAACCCCACAATATATCATTACTGTTTTTGCTTTAAACAACAATTATTGGGTGCCTGGGTGGCTCAGTGGGTTAAGCCTCTGCCTTGGCCTCAGGTCATGATCTCAGGTCCTGGGGTCGAGCCCAGATTCCCCACCTCTCTCTGCCTGCCTCTCTGCCTACTTGTGATCTCTTTCTCTGTCAAATAAATAAAATCTTTTAAAAAAAGAAAAACAAAAACAACAATTATCTTTTTTGGGGGGTAACAACTTTATCAAGATGTAATTTGTATATTATATAATTCACCTAATTAAATGGTATATATAAATCAGTGATTTTTGATGTATTCACAAAATTTTCTGATTATCATGACAATCAATTTAAGAACATTTTTATCACTCCAGAGGTGCCTAGGTGGCTCAATCAGTTGATCATCTGGCTCTTGATTTTGGCTCATATCATGATGTCAGGGTCATCGGATTGAGCCCTATGTTGGGCTCTTATGTTCAGTGTGTGGTATGTTGAGATTCTCTCTCATCCTCTCCCTCTGCCCCTCCCCCTGTTTGAGCTCTATTAATAAATGAATGAATGAACAAATGAATGAATGAAATTCTAAAAAAAAAGAGAACATTTTTATCACTCAAAAAAAAAAAAAAGGGACGCCTGGGTGGCTCAGTGGGTTAAAGCCTCTGCCTTCGTCTCAGATCATGATCTCGGGGTCCTGGAATCGGGCCCCATGTCGGGCTCTCTGTTCCACGGGGAGCCTGCTTCCTCCTCTCTCTCTCTCTCTCTGCCTGCCTCTCTGCCTACTTGTGATCTCTGTCTGTCAAATAGATAAATAAAATCTTTGAAAAAAAAAAAAAAACACCCTTTAGCCAATACCTATTCCCACCACAAATTCCAATTTCCATCAGCCTCTTCCATCTTTAGGCAACCCCTTACCTACTTTCTATCTCTATAGATTTGCCTATTCTGGATATTTTATGTAAGTGAAATCATATATATGTGGCTAGGGGCTACCTGGTCCCAGCCCTGTCCCTCTCCTGGTTCATGGCCATGGCCCCCTACTGACCTCCCTACTTTCACCCTGGCTCCCCCATGGTCCGTGTATTGTCATGCAACAGTCTGTGGGATCACCTGTCTATGCCACCCTTTTTCTATCCTTTTTTAAAATTCTATTTCTATTCTAGTCTCTCATTTTTAAAGATATTTATTTGAGAGAATGAAATTGAGAGAGAGAGCAATCATGAGCAGGGGGGAAGGGTAGAAGGAGAAGCAGGATCCCCGCTGAGCAGGGAGCCCGATGCGGGACTCGATCCTAGGACCCCAAGATCATGACCTGAGCCAAAGGCAGACAAGCTTAACTGACTGAGCCATGCTCTACTCTATTCTTCTTCTGTTTTTCTCCTTGTTGGTGCCACCATTTATGCAAGTGAGACAGATATGAAATCACCTACAAATTCTCCCTGTTGTTCAGAATCTGCATCTAATTTGCCAACTAGTTCTGTTTCTACTTCTTTCATACAGCAGCCTTGTAACTTGTCACCTTCCTTCTCATCTCTTGTGCTCCTGGTCCACTAACTGTATTTCTCCCAATTGTCTTTGCAAAGTTCGTATATAAGCGCATGCATTTTCTGTCTAAAGAAATATCTTATTTCCCCCAAGGCATACATACCAAACTTCTTTGCCGGGCTTCTAGAGCCCATTGTTCTTGTGCGCAATGTCTCTCTGCTCTTCTCTCTAAACAATCCAAGATCCATAGGACAGAAGCACACCCTGTTCTTTTACACCTCTCTCTCTCTTTGGACAAGCTGTCTTCTGCCTTCTGTCACTTTTTCTCTGCCTGGTAAACTCCTCCTTATTCTTCAAAGCCTGATCTAAGTTGCCCCTTCTGATGCTTTCTGCAAGAGTGTTGGTCATTCCTGCTTCTCTGGCTCCATTTCATCATACAATGTACTTAGCTATAGCCCATGCTTCTCTATTTGAGCATTACTTGTTTTCACTTTTGTCTGCCTTTCATACCATGAGTTCTTCTAAGAGAGGGACTTCATCTATAATTTTAGTTTTCCTGATTCTGTCCCAGATACTCAGTTGGTACTTGTATTGAATGAAATGTTATCCTATAATGTAATGGACTTTATTATGGAGAGACTGTTCTATATAGTGATTATTTATCCAGCCCAAGAACTCTTTGATCTGTGTAGCTTTCCTGCTAGATATGCACTAATTGATATTTCTTTTCAGACGTGAGATGGAAAAACAAATTCTGGGGCAAATCCATGGAAATTGTTCCTATTGGCACAACCCATGTGACTCTCCCAGCGTAAGTTCTTCTGTGGTTGGGAACTGTGTGGAATTTAGGGCCAAGATACAGCTTTAGGAATGGGATTCCCGTTATACCCCCATGGTGTTGAGTATGTGTTTTGTTTTGTTTTGTTTTTTTCTTTTAATTGGTTTGACAATAAGTTCAAATGTAGCTCGTTCCGACAAGCTCACATTTTCTTTCCTTCCCATGGGAATGCTACCTGGAAACCAAAGTTCCCTGAACAGAAGCTTTTTAAAAACTTATTTTTACTTCCTAACAAAATTAGGGATGGTGGTTTTGCTTTAACAACATTGGCCTACCTCACTGTCAAAATTCTTTTTAAGAAGAACATCTTATTTCTACAGGGATTACAGACCCTCATTTATAAAGCAAAGTGGCTGTGAGGGTGGCTTCCGGGTTGGGGCCCACAGGACTCGGATGCTCACTTACCAGTTGCAGATCCTTGGGCAGGTTCCTTAACCTTCCTGAGCACTCGTTCCCTCATTTTCAAAAGAGGACCACCTACTCTGCAGGGCTGTTGTGAAGATTAAACAGATAATATCTGTAAAGCACTGAAGAAAGTCCTTGGCACAGAGTCTATGCTGTGTTAAGTGTTTGGTCTTATTACCATTATCCTCATAACTGTTATATGACTCTGAAAGTAGTACCTGAATACTTTCTCATCATAAAAAGATATATGTGTATATTAAGATTTATATATAAGATAGTTATGTCTCTCTGCCTAGACTGTATTCATACACATATATGTATATATATATGCATATGCATGTGTGTGTGTGGAGAGAGAGGAGATTGTGAGATCCCCACACCTTCCCCTTTGCCTCTTCCCATCTCTAGTCTGATGACTCAGACAAGTCGCCTCTGGCTCTCAGTTTTCTCCTCTGTCAAAGGAGAAAGGTTTTTCCAGGAGATCACCAGCTTCTAGTAAGTCCCTGGCAGCCTCCACAGTGCCCAGCTCTGCCAGCTGTGGCCCTCTGTGGCCTGCATGTCTGAGAGTGGAGGCTCAGGATGCCCGGCACAGCTTAGGCCCTCAGTCAGTGTTGGTTCTGTAAATGAAGGAATGAGTAATTCATCCTGGGACTTTATTTTTTTAAATAGCAATATTTGTTTGCATCTGCTGCTAGCTCTTCTGGGAATTGTTAAGGTCACTGTTGCCTCCTTTTTAGCTTCGGAGATCATTTTGAGTGGAACAAAGTGACCTCTTGCATCCATAACATCTTAAGTGGCCAGAGATGGATCGAGCACTATGGAGAGATTGTCATCAAGAACCTGAATGATGACTCCTGCCACTGCAAAGTGAATTTTATCAAGGTAACCCAGGTGGCCTCATGAGGTTGACCCCGGAAATGCCTTGGCAGAGGTGGGGCCCGAGGGCACAGGGAATCTCAGGGAACTTTCCACCTTCACCTTTGTGCCATCAGGCAAGCAATGCCAGGGGCTCCCCCGTGTCCCCTCTCCCAACCTCTCTCACCTGGATCAGGGCCATGGCCCCTCTGGCCTCCCTCCTTCTACTCATACTTCCTCATGGTCTGTCCTCAAGGCAGTGGCCAGAGGGACAATTTTAAAACATAACTCATCATGCTACAATACCCATGAAGCTTGAAGACATTATGCTCCGTGTAATGAGCCAGACATACAAGGACCGATACTGTGTGACCCCACCTGTGAGATACCTAAAGCAGTCAAACTCATAGAGACAAAAGGTAGAATGGTGATTCCAGGGCCTGGGGGGCTGGGAAATGGGAGTTAGTGTTTAATGGACACACAGTTTCAGTTTGGGAAGATGAGAAGTTTCTGGAAATATATAATAATGATGGTTGCTCAACACTGTGAATGAATGTGCTGAATGTCACTGAATTGTATGCTTAGAGATGGTTAAAGTGGTACATTTTGTTATGCATATTTTACTAGGATTTAGAAAAAGAAAGTCATGCTGTATATCACAAAAATCCCCCCACAACTTCCATCTTTCCCAGTATAAAAGCCTGCTCCCTGACATTGGCCCCCAAGGCCCTGTGCGTTATGCACTGCCCCCTCACCCCTGATGTTCACACACGTGCACACACATGCACGCCTGCACATATACACACATGTGAACACACACCTACACATGGTTCTGTGTCCGCACATGCGTGTACGCATATACATACCCACTCCTTTCTAGTCTCAGTTCCCACCACGTTCCCGTTCTCCTCCTTCCCCACCATCTTCTGACCACACTGACATTTCTCTCTCCACCTTCTTTTTCTCAGGCCCCTCTCCCCAGATCCTTACGTCATCAGCCCAGTCTTGTTAGTCACTTGCTGTCATATCCCCTTTTCTTACAAGTGTTTACTCTCGCCCATAGTTAACTTGCTCACTGTTGGTTTACTTCGGTATTTTCATTTTCGGTCCCCGCACCCTCCTCGCCGCCCCCGACTCTGGAAAAGCAAAACCTGAGCTACTCTTGCTCACTGCTGTAGGCTGATGTCTGGAAAGGCTCATGAACATTCATAGGGGACATGAACAGATTGGCCGAAGGCAAAAGCAAAGAATGGTCTGCTTACCTTTGCAAGTGCTTTGATTCCCTTAGATTCCTCTTGCCCTTAAAAATTTCATGTGTTTAAAATGGTCTTCAAGGAATATTTGCATGAATTAAGATCAAAATCCCAAGCAGAGAGATGAGGCTGTAACTGTGGAGTTTCACGCAGTACCTCTCAGCACCACTTAGAGCTGCTGGGGGACTCGATGGAGAGCTGGGTTGGGGTCTTTCTTATAACCTAGAATTCAGACCAGGATGTAGACAGAGAAAAAGCTAATGATGTTTGGGGCGAAGTAAAAATGAACCTGCCTCGAAAACGTCACGTAGGCTCTCTGCAAAAAGAAGCAAAGGGTGATCTGGGCTAGGGCTCTACTCCCCTGTTCCAGGTGAGGGCCGTGGCTTCTCAGCAGCTCTGCCAAGGAAATGGGCTTGAGTCCCATGTCCACCATCCACCTGGTGCTCACACTCAGGGCCAGAGAATCCATTTCTGTGGCTACGAGAGAAGAGGGAATTAGAATACTGGCCGTGCCTCTGGTGTTAGAAGAGAATCTGAAAACACGTGCAGCCTTCCCGGTGGAGCGTGAATGCCTTCCCCTCTGGCGTCCCACCATATCGCCAGCATTGGATTTGTCAGGGGCATCTGTAACAGAAAATCCGACTCCCACTTCAGAATACACTTAAGAGCCTAGACAGTGGTTGTTTCACTTTTCCTCCATGTTTACGTGAGTCGAGACCTCAGGTTAATGCTTCTGATGTAGCTCCGAGATGCTGCTGTCCTCTGGTCTTCCTCCCCTCTTCCCCATAAGACACAGCATGGGGAAACCAGACAGCCAGAATATGACCCAAAAATGCCGCTCAGTTTTACTGGTTTCCAACTACGGATTCCGTTTGGGATGAAAATAGCACTTGGAGTTTTGATTTATGAGGTAATGCCTTCCATTCTTTCCTGGGGATTTTTTAGGGCAGGTAACTGGGAGACTTGGGGGAAAAGTCAACTCTAGGGAGTTAGACCGCCCTCTGCTGGCCAGCTTGCGGTACTGTATGAAACCCGCAAGGCTGAGCGGGACTGAGCTGCTCTCAGATCAGGACTGATCCACAGGGGAAATATGGGTAGCATCACGTTCCAGTGGATTGGATGAATAAATCTAGTTTGGGGGAGAAATGTTGGAGAAACAGAAAATGGGTTGCTTTACAAAGGAGCCCCCTTTGTTGGTTTGCAAAAGACTGTCCAGTTCCTGTTGAGAAAGAATATATATGAGTTAATTTTGTCTTAAATTGTAATAGAGCCATGGTGACGTCTACAGAACAGCTTCTCCAGACAAGCAGGCTTAGGAGCCAACTATATTACTTGGCTAATGTGTGAGCCCTGAGCCTTTCCTTCTGATGTTGTGTGTAGCAGAAGGAGAAGAGAAAACCTGTATCTCTCACAATGTCGACTGTTGCTTCACAAACTATAAATAAAGGGTTAGATGTTAATTTTTATTAAGTAATTAAAAGTATGATTTTTTTTAAAAAGCCAGAACCCAGAGCTAGCAAATTATATGCAATGTAGAATCATTCCTATGCTTTTTTTCCTCTGGACTTCTTTTTTTTTTTTCTCTTAGTATCTGACATTAGTTGACTCCAAAGTACTAAATAGATAACTCTCATTGGAATCCTAGGCAAAATACTGGAGCACTAACGCCCGTGAGATTGAAGGCACAGTATTTGACAAGGATGGAAAAGTTGTGCATCGGCTGTTCGGGAAATGGCATGAAAGCATCTACTGTGGGGGATCGTCCTCGTCCACGTGTGTCTGGAGAGCAAGTCAGTACCCCGGCTAATCAGTCTCGGGCACGGGTTGGTGGGGAGGCACAGCCAGAGTTGCTGCAGACAGGCTGGCCTCCATGTCCGCCATCCCAAGTCTTCAGCCTCTAGCTGCTTTGAATGCCGTTCAAGCGACCAGCCCTTCATTCACTTCCCAGTCCTTTCTCAACCTCGTCCTCATGCTTAGCAACAACACCTCAGTTGGCCTGCTAGGTCCTGGTTCTTAATCCCAGAACAAAGCCATTGCTTATCCATGGTCACTTTCTCAGAGGAAATCTTCGAGGCTACACATATCACTTCCGTGCCTATCCTGGGCACTGAGAAGGAGAGTCAGTGAAGTACAAGAGGTCATCGTGGAGTAAGAATGAGTAAAGAGAAAGCAGTTGCTAGACAAGAGTGACCTGGGGCTTCTATAAAAGTTAGGGGTCTCCCAGACTCACCCATTTACCATTAGCCTCTCTGATCTCTCCTGTAATTCTAGAAAATACTGAGCCCTCGAAGCAGCTGTGGGGAGGGCTAGGGAAGCCAAACCTTCATAACATGTCCCCCAAAACATTTTTTTAAGACTTTTGTCCATCTCCTAATCTGATAGGTATATTTCCAAGTGTTGACCATATTATAAACTATTGTTCTGAGATACCAACAGTTGTATGCTTTAGGCTGATCAAAATAAAACAAACAAACAAAAAAACATTCTAAGAGTAACTTAAACCATAAGGATGTGTGCTATTACTTAACTAGTAAGGGATTGAATGGCCCCACAGTGGTTATACAGACAACTTACCTGTGTCAAAAGCACAGACCACTGACGACACATTCCTCTACTCCCAATATGGCAGTGATGTGTCCCTCATGGGTGTAAAATATTTATCATGATTCAATATCATATCCCCATGCGACAGGTCACTAAGCAGGAGAGAAGCCAGAACAAAAGAGCTATCTTCTCTTGTAGCCTCTCAGTTTTCGAAAACCTTTACTGGGATTCCCCAGCAAAGGAGTCACTAAGTTTTGTCAGCCTCAAGTGGGTCCAAATCCATCCAGTCAAGAGCACCTGGAAAGGCAGAAGAGATTCAGATGTGCTTAGATTTACCCCCTAGGCAGGACACAGTGCCACACAAATCAGTTTCCCATTAGCAAGTAAGAAAGGGAAGTAACTGTAGGGTAAGCAACCAACAGTGTCACTTTCGCTGGATGGCAGCCATATATAGCATCCACTGTCACAGAGGTGGCCACGAAGCCGGCATGAATTGGCACCAGTGACCACCTTCCTAGCTTTAGAAGTTCAGAGAGGCACTCACTGTCCTTTGCTTAAAGTATGTTTCCGAGATGAGAACAACCTTCCTCTCTGGGATGTTAAAGCAGCGGCTAGACAGAGCACGTGGTGGGTGTGGGCTGTACGCTTGTTGTGGTTGCTCACTGACTTTGTGTTTGTGCCTTGACCATGAGCATCTCTGGCCCATCTTCAAGAAGAACCACTGTCTTGACTCTGGTGGTTGGGCTGGATTTGTGAAGGCACAGTAGGGAGCTTTGCTACTATTTTCATGACTAGGATGCACAGGACATTAGACTTAAAATTAGACAGAAAGGACTCCCAAGGCTTGAAAAACTGGGTTTGCAGAACAGTGCGTGGAAAGCATTTGTATTTGTATGTGAGAGCAACTCCTGCTAAGACTAGAAGTGGACTTTATTAGCCTACATTTGATTTACCCAGTATATAAACTTGGCATTTTTAGCTTGATTTTTAGCTGGGATTCAAGTTAGGGCAATACACTTGGATATACACTTGCTATAACAAATACCACAGATCAGGTGGTTTAAACAGAAATGTGTTTTCTTGGAGTCCTAGAATCTGGGAAATCAGAGATCAAGGTGCTGGCAAATTTGGGTTGTGGTGAGAGCTTCTTCTTGGCTTGCAGGCGGCCCCCTGATCAGGGCTATACCCTTTGGACCTTATTTAACCTTAATTACTTTCTTAGGCTCCTTCTCCAAATATAGCCATATGAAGGGGTAGGGCTTCAACATATGAATTTTGAAAGGATACAAACGTTCAGCCCATGACACTGCCCCTGGATCCCCCAAACCTCACCTTTCTTACATGTCAAATATTCCATCTTAACAGCCCCCCAAATCTTAACTCATTCCAGCATCAACTCTAAAAGTCTAAAATCCAAATTCTTAACTAAATATTATCTAAATCGGGTACGGGTGAGACTTGAGGTCTAATTCTCCAGCCTCTCCAACTCTGAACCCATGAAACAAAAATGTGCTTCCATATAATGAAGGACACCCATAGGATAGACATTCCCATTCCAAAAAGGAGAGATAGGAAAGAAGAAAGGGGCAATGTCTACCAGGTAAATCCCAAACCCAGTAAGAAAAATGCCATTAGATACTAAGACAGCAGATGATACTTTTTGGCTCTATGCCCCGCCCTCTGGGTGCATGGGGGCAGTGGCTCTGCTCCCAAGGCCCCCAAGGCTCTGGGTGGTGGCAGCAAGGCAGGTCAGAACTTCTGCGGTAGCCCCGCCCTTTGAAAGGTGGAGGCTGCCTTACCCCCTGGGCCTGTGTAGTCTGGACCTGTGGTGGGAAGGGCAGCCCAGATGTTCTCTGAATCACCTTCACGTGTTCTTCCCTTTACTTGAATGATAACACACATTTGCGGCTGGAGAGTGCGAAGGTCCCATCCTGTAGAATGCCAGGCGGCCAGCAGCCTTACCTCCTTCGGTCCCATATTCTCTGTCCCCTTAACCTCAGGCAGCATTTCTTCTGGTGTAATCTCATGTTTATTCCTGGCTTCTGCTGAACTAGATTTAAATTTAAATGTGTAAGATTTAGAGGGAAAGAGTTGGTAGAAAGAAGGGCAGGCATGGAAGAAAAGAATAACCTTGACCACTTGCTAGGGCTTCAGCACTATTCTAGGAACTAGACAGAGTTCCAGGAGGATTTGACATCTCTTAAATGAAAAGTGGATTCTCCAGAATCAGAGTCTTGTTAGTCAGGAAAAAATGGACCCAGAGTTCTTTTTAACATGTTTATTTTTGTAAAATTATTTTTATAGCTTACACAGTATAAAAACTTCATGGCATTACATAAATTCCCTATATGACCACACAGAAGAGGTCTTATCCTTGTAGGTAGAAGAAAACTTCTAGAGAAAAAGATTTATAGAGGAACATTCACCACCAGTTTCTTAGCCAGGATTTAGAGCTGAGAGAGAAAAATTATGGCTGGTCTGGGATGAAAAAGAGGCAGGAATTAAGATGTAATGTAGATGAAAGGCAACTTAGAGATGAATGATTTCTTTTTCTTTTAGATCCCATGCCAAAAGGCTACGAGCAATATTATGGCTTCACACAGTTTGCCCTGGAATTAAATGAAATGGATCCATTGTCAAAGTCTTTATTACCACCTACTGACACTCGATTTAGACCAGACCAAAGGTAAGCACTTTGTAAAAGATCTGTATCCCCAGAGATGTAAAACTCATTGGGAAAAGTCCAGAGGTGCCCAAGAGAGACGAATGTCATCAGGAGTAGAGGCCCAGGGGTGCTTGAAGCACTCAGGTCATGAAAGGAAGGGACTCGGGTCATTGCTCAGTAGCACCTTATTTCAATTGATTGAAATTCTCCAAACATGTGTTAATTTTTAAGAGTTCTATTGCACACAACAAGACAGAACTTACTGTGTCTCTGGAAGAGTGAGAAGCACCCAGCTCCCTTACCCCTCAGATTTCACTTATTTTGGCACATAAAAATCTAACTTCTGATCCTATGTTTGCTGGCAATATGCTGTGTAAACCTTCTTAGTCTCAGTTTCTTAATCTGTAACATGGAAACTATTCTCTCTGTCCTTGGGCCTATTTAAGACCCAAGACTCAGAAAGGAAAAAAAAATTATATACTTGACTTTATTTAAGGAAAAAAAATCCTTCTTCATGGCAAAGTAAAAAAAAAGTGTGTGTACACACACACACACACACACATATATATGTATATACACACATATACGCACACATACACACATATGTATATATTTTTAATATTTTATATATTTTTTATATTTTTATATGTGTGTATATATACATATAAATGTATATACATATATATGCATACCGAGAATTAAATACTTAAATGACAAACAGAAATGTGTATTTACAACTCATTTAATGAATTGGTTCCAGAAATTAAGATGAATTCATTAAAAAAATGGACACAGGAAAATGAACTGTTCACAAAACAGGAAATGCAGCTCTCAAACATATGAAAAGATGCTCAGTGTCCCTGAAAGAAATGCATATTTTTAAAAACATGTTGACATATGGATTCATAACCTACCAGCTAGCAGAGATTCAACAGTCTGATGGGCTCCAAGGCTCCCACGGAAGGGCGTGGTGAGGAAGCAGGTGGGATGAGGGACGGGGACGAAAGGGACAAATTCCTTTTTATAGATGTAATTTTTTGAACCTTGTATGTATCACCAATTCCACAAAGAGTATCTTCCCTAACTACTGCAAAATACTGCCTTTAGGCCTGGAGAGGGATCTCACAGGCAGGAACTCTCTAGTTCTAGACCCGTCATTCTAGTTGTCATGATGACGGTGTTATCCTGGAACCTGCGTTCCGTTGTTTCCCCCCTTACTGCCCCAGGTTCCTGGAGGAAGGGAACATAGAAGAAGCTGAAATACAAAAGCAGAGGATCGAACAGCTGCAGAGAGAAAGGCGGCGGGTCTTAGAAGAAAACTGCGTGGAGCACCAGCCGCGGTTTTTCAGGTGTGCGCGCCCAGCACGGGGGTCTTGGGCTCACAGGGACTGGTGACCCCGGAGGCTTCTATAGGAGGGAAGAGGACAAGAGTGTCCCCTCCCCAAATGTGAGCGTTCTTGGTGTCTGTCTTGCTCCAGAGGCCTAAAGCCTCTCCTCGGGAACATGGAACGTGCAAGCGGTCTAATGCTCGGTTTGCAGAAGGTTTAGAAACACTCCAGTTTGGATTTGGAACACTTACTCTTCATTTGAAAGTAACTTGCCATGAAAGGTCTTGTTAAAAGTAGACTCCAGGATTTAGAAGGGCATCAGAGAGCATCCGCTCTTTACCCCCTCTTTCTTATTACCTGAGAAGAAAGAGAGGCCCCGGGGAACACGGGCTCTACGGAAGGCCCCAGGGAGATGCCCTGGGCTGGGGTCTAGCCCTCCTGCCTACTCGCCAGGGCTGTGTACGGCCATAGGGGCTTTTTTGTTTGTTCATTAAAAAAATAAACAAACAAACCAGGCCCGTGTAGAAAAGCAGCAGATGCTTGCCCTACCTATTCCACCCCAGTCTTATTTTCAGAGCAGCCTGGGTTTTATTGTTTGGTTTTTTGTTTTGGTTTGTTTTTTTGTTGTTGTTGTTGTTTTTGTTGTTGTTGTCATTATGTTTTAATGGACAATAGGAGTTAGCTACTAATCTTGCAGCAGCAGTAGTAGCAATTAGCAATTAAGTAATTGTGTATTCCAAAATAGCAAAATGGTAGCAAGTAATGTTTCATCCCCAAAATATAATGTTTTTTTACCCCTAGAGTCATTGTGGATTTTGTCAGGTCCCTTCTGATCATTTCCACCAACTCAGGTTACAGGCAAATGAAAATCATTCAACTGGCCAGAGTTTCATCCCAGAATATTCAGAACTTTGTTTATATATTTTATTTATCTTTATTATTTTGTTTATTGTCAATTAGCCAGCATACAGTACATCATTAGTTTTTGATGTAATGTTCAGTGATTCATCAGTTGCATTTAAATATTTTAAAAACAAGACTCCTTAAACTATTTCTTTTAAAGACAAGAGATAGATAAAGGGATAGATGAAAATAAACCAACAAACCTGTTTGTTTATTTTGATCTGTTGACTTACTGACCAGTTGATAGATATTCACACATACCCTTAAGTAGGCCAGTTCTCTTTTTTCTTTCATAAGTCACCCAGTGTCATTTTTAAACAAGGGAAATCTACATTTATAAAGATGTTCACTGCCCTGTTTTTTAGGATCATTAAAACTTGCAAGTAACTAAGTTGTCTCAAGAACTAGGGAGGGAGAGGCATCAATTCCATCTACTTTGAAAGCATCAAAAGTGACTTCACAAAGGCTGTGGAGCTCTGTGGAAAATGAATTAACATTTAAATGTAAAATATAAAACCTTACCTAGGCTGTGGTGGCCACCGTCTAGAATGGAACACAGCTGCAGCCGCGTGGCCGCGGCGCTTTTTCCTCTGGATAGTCTGTGAAAGTTTCAGAGTATCAGATGTGGCAAATAAGGAGCTGGAGAGGAGGCAAGAACCCTGAGCCATAGCGGTCCTAGCACAGAGGTGACCGAGAGGCATTTGGCAACAAGGAAAGCGTCAGCGGGAATTCCAAGTGGAAACTACAGTTGGGACAAGCCGGGCTCTTCTGTGTCAAAGTAAAGTGTCTGCTAGGCAGACTGGCTCAGTTTAGACACATTCCTTTATTAGAAGAGGGAAACCAGTGTGACAAAAATCTGTGTCCCCAAGAGTGTAGGAAAACAGGCAGTCTCCCCTTTTGCTTCTTAAAACATGAAATATCAGACAAAGTTACAAATACACTCTTTGACATAGCAGTTCCACTTACAGGAATTTTCAATGTAACTGTACTCATGTGCATACAAAATTACATATTGTTGTAGGTCTACCTTATTATTATTAACATATGTCTGGGATAGCTAGATAGCTAAAAGCTCACCAGTAAGCTACCTGTTAAATTGTGGTCCATTTCTACAACGGAGTATCATGCAACTGTTTAAAAAGAAATCAGGATTCCTTATGGCCAGAGTCACCAGATGTTTCCTATAAAAGACAAATGGTAAATATTGTTAGCTTTGCAGGCTGTAAGGTCTTTTTTTTTTTCTCTTAAAGATTTTATTTCTTTATTTGACAGAGAGAGAGAGAGAGCAGGGAGAGAGGAAACACAAGCAGGGAGAGTGTGAGAGGGAGAAGCAGGCTTCCCGCTGAGCAGGCATCCCAATGTAGGGCTCCATCCCAAGACCCTGGGGTCATGACCTGAGCTGAAGACAGACGCTTAATGACGGAGCCACCCAGGCGCCCCTTCAGGCTGTAGGGTCATAGTAGTAACTGCCCAAGCCCCCTGCACAGCATAAAAAGCAGCCATAGACGATAGTTAAGTGAATGGGCGTGGTGGTGTTCCAGTAAAAAGGGAGTAAGATTAAAGGGAATCTAAGTATAAATAAATCACAGAGATGAAAAACAGCACAAGCAATATAGTCAATAAAATTGTAATAATGTATGGTGGCAGATGGTGACTACACTTCCAGTGGTGACCACTGATAGAAGGACATGTATAGAATTGTTGACTCAATATGTTGTATACCTAATGCTAATAAAACATTGTGTGTTAATTATACTTCAATTTAAAAAAACCAATAATACAAAGATAGGCAGAAGGCAGGATGTGGCCCTTGGGCTATAGCTTGCTGACCTTATTGTGACAATGGAAAATGATCTCCACTAGATATCGTTCTGTCAACGTCTCAAGGGGTGGGATGCCATATAGGGCTGTCTTTGTGTAAAAAAAAAATGGGAGGGGTGGAGTGTGCACGGGTGTGCATGCACGCTCAGACATGCATGAAATTTCTCTGAAAGAATGAAGCTTATAAGAGCGTTGCCTCTGAAGAAAAAGGACTAGGAGTCTGGGAGATGGGAATAGAAAGAAGACTTTTAGCTATCCACCCCTTTGGACCTTATGAATTTTTATCTATTTAATATATTATCTAGTCAAACAATAGTGAACCAAGGCTGTGCTCTCCTGACTCTTATGTCTTCCAATTCCTTTTGTTTTTAATGTCAACTTATAACTTGCTGTGAACAACCCGGCTGATTCCTAGCTTTTATATAGTCACACCCAAGATGGTGGCCGTCATCCCAGCCGTGTTTTACACATGACAGACTCTTCCCTTATCCATGTTTCTCTCAGAAGCACCATTTGTCATAGCCTGTAAGTTTGAGAAGCGCAAGTCAGGAGTAAAAAAATGGTTTCCAAGCTTCCTGATGCCTCATAGTCCCCAAAGGAGACTGTCAGGGATATTGTCTGCACGTGAGAATGACAGCCAGGCCTTTGGGGGTATGGTGAGGGGGGGTGTGGAGGAGGCGATGGGGAGAGGGAAAGAGAAAGAGAATATATGACAATATTTTCTATAGCTTTCAAGAAATTCTTTTACCTTCACAGGAAATCCAGTGATGACTCCTGGGTGAGCAATGGCACCTATTTGGAACTTAGAAAAGATCTCGGTTTTTCCAAACTGGACCAGCCTGTCTTATGGTGAAAAAGGAAAGAAGAATGATACACCCTTATACTTCTCCTGCGTTTGCTTTCTGAAGCCACAAAGCTGTGTCTATGTATTTAGAAGAAATTATCTAGAATGATCACCTGTGCTTAGCTTAGCATTGTAAGTAGTAAAGTATGTCTTTTCTTCAGTAGGTTTCTTTACAATTTCAAATGTTATCACAATTGTTTATATGAATGTAGAACACCTTGATATTTCATTTTATATATAAACTATTTAATAAACATGCAAGATTGAATGTTAATGTGTGGGTTAAAAAAGAAGCTTTAACACTAATTTTCCAAAGGTTAGGAAAATTCAAATTAAATTTATGCCTTATAAAATTGTGTTGGAGACAAAAATTTATCCAGGTGCATTAAGAAATATCAATACCCAAGGTTACTCACTCATGCATAAGCTACCCGAGTTTAATTTGGTAACTCGGATCTCTTTTTGGCTCCAGCAGCTCTGGAATGGCTCGTAGGAAACAATTCTGCTGGTGCTGGAGTCTGAAGACTATTTGTATTTGCATTTTGGAGGTTGGGAGGATGGTACAAGAGTAGTGGAATGTATATTTTTAATATCGAACGGATACGGCGCCTTCCTGAAGAGGAGGAAGCATTTGAGCTCATCCCTCCCTAGAGGTGTATCGCCTTCTGTGCAAAATTGTACCCTGTTATGCAGAGAAATTGTCATCAGTCTGAGACATTCCCATTAATTAAATGCTATAGTGGCATCCCAGAGACATGGTAGGAAATTTCTCCTTAGTGAGAACTGAACTCTTGACAAGTTAAACTGTTTTCTGCTTCCCATCCCAACCCCTGGGTTCCTCACCCTTTACCATAGCTCTCTGGAGTATGGAATGTTCCAGTTTAGCCTAAAACATACAGTGCATTTCACACAACAGTTTGACTTTCTAAAAGTTTAGCAAAATAACGGATTATTTTAAATAATGCATTTTTCTTAAATACTGTTTTGATATTTTCTACCTCTTGATAACACCATATTTTAGATCTTGTATAAGAAGTTTGACCATCTGCCTTATAGACAAATGTAGAGAACTGATGTTCTTCTTTGTGTTGTGTTCTGATAAAGCTTTGTCTTACCTCTTTCCTACACTTTCTTCTTACTCATTTTACTCTTCTGTGAGTTTTGCAGCAGTCTTGAATAATACAGATTATAACTACTAAAAGGGGAAACTTTGCCTTTTCAAATATGTTACTTTAATGTACAATAATACAATTTGTGCAGTAGTTGAAGTGTGTTATCAAAGCAAAGCCAACTTCTGCCCAGATTACATTAAAACCAAAGCCTAATTTTTAAGCCTTTTAGTCTAATGTCCATAACAATCCTATGGAATATCAAGTATAATGGTGTAGTAAAAAGATTTCTCCAGAAAATGCTTACAGATAATTAAATAATTTCAGAGTGTGTAGAATTCTGTGAATGAAAAGTAGAATTAAGTGATGGGAAAAAAAGAATGCATGATTTTTTCCAGTGTCACACCAAATAAACAAGTAGTTGGACAGCATTGCATTTTCAAAATGAAGTTATTTAAAGTGGGTCAGTAGCCTTTTGGACTCTGCAAGTGATTAGCATTTAAAAACAATAAATGGCTCATTAAATATTACATTTGTTCCTTACATATCAGGAAATCAAGATGAATACAATGTGAATATCATTTCCATTTCTAAGCAGTTTAGATGACACAGTCCAATTCTTTGGTATATGTGCTTTGTTCTTTTCTTTTCAAGCATGTATCCGAATTCTCCTCACACACAGGAAGAAGCATTCTGTAGATTTAAGGAGACTCAAGGGAAAACCAAATCTAGTTTTCACATTATGAAGGAAAATGCAGACTTTGAGCAATACTGACTACTAAATAGGCCTCCTCCAGAAGCTGGCTCAAAAAAGACCAAAACAAAACAAAAACCCACCACAAGAAAAGCAAGACAGGCAGCCTGAATGGCTGTAGCTTTGTCATACAGTATCTGGAAATGTTTTAATTCTCCCGCTATTTCAATTGACCTTATGCTTTATTTTGGAATCACAAGCATAAATGGACCAAATACCACCTTGGTATTTGAGATACCAAGATACCAAATCATCTTATTTGAGATGCAAGTGGAGATAAATTAGAATATGATATGGAACCGTATGCAAATTTTAAAAGCTACTGGTCAGTAGTACCAGCCCTATGAAGGGCATTTCTGAAATTTAAATAGCTTAGTGATGCATCCTGTTATTATAGTCTTAAAACTACCTTGAAGGGGAAATGGTTTCTTTTTTCCTTCAGTCCCTTTTCTCCATTGCAGCTTCCCATCTCCTCTGTAGCTCAAGGGCTTTTTCTATTTTTAAGACAAAGAAAACAGAAACGTGTTGTTCTTTGGGAAGAATGAGGGTAGAATTTAACTTTCTGGACTTTGAAAATCCCAATCCAATAATTGCGATCACCGTGCCATCTGAGATACATGCTTTAACCTCCATATTCTTCCTGATTATTCTATCCCAAATTGATGGTGAATTACATATGTATTCTTGAAAATGGGATTCTGGGCATTCTTGTACTTCGGATGTCCCTGTGGCCACTATCGATTAGCCCAAGCTGCAGGAGATCCTTCTGGAAGAGTCCAGCAGCCTCTGGTGTGGCCTGACAGCAGATCCCTTCGGCTTCAGGCCCCAGAGCAGAGGCTGGTATTTCCCTGAGTCAAATGTAATCATCGGAATCCCAGTGCGGCTCTCCCGGCCCTTCACCCCCCAGAAGTCAGGCTGGTTCTGGGACTAACTGAACAGCCAAGTTCACTTTAGGACAACAGTCCAGTTCTCCATCAGGTCGCTAGAGTGCCCCAATAGCCCACAGTCTTTGTGTGCTTCCCATGGGACTCTCTGGAAGAGAAAAATACTCAAGCTAAAAAAACAAAAACAAAACAAAAACTCTTCATGTTTACTTCATTTGAGCTGCTGCTTTTCTTATATTCTCCTTTTAATTACTTCCAGTAAATCACGTGCTTGGGCTTCAAGGACTGTCCCTCATCTGTTATTTTCCAGATTTACGATGAGTGGTCTTGTTCTGCTATAAACAGTCTCCACCCTGAAAGAAAAGAATCAAGTTTTTATTTGCCTATTGAACCTTGCTGTAGGCTGACTACATATTCAGTGAGTTATATTATGCCCTCAAGCTATCATACAATTTTCTCCGACCTTTTAGTTGTGAGTAGGAGCAATAAAGTTGTTGTTCTTATGATGTTAGGAGTAATAGTTCCAATGTATTAGCATAATTTATTTGAATGTCTTTAGTTTTGATATTAACATGGGCATAAATCTATTTTTGCTACCAGATGATAGCTATTTTCATGCGTTCAACTTCCCTCTGCATTGTATAAATCTGTTACTTGCTGTTAGTCTTTATTTTTCTGTGTTGGAAATATTTATCACATGAGTATCTGTAAATCATGACAGAAAATCCAAACCATTTTCTGAGACTTTCGTTGTGGGTTACATAATGATAAGTTGCTAATTTATTTTATTCATGATGATTTTATCTTCCTCCATTACCTTCAGAGGATACTATTTTTTTTAAAAAGAATATCTGTAAATCTTCTCTCTAGCTGTGTATAAGATTATTTTCTGCTTAAATCCCACCCTTCCACTCATATACCCCATTCTCCCCAAGACGTTTGTGCTAATTTGTTTATCTCCCTCATGTAGCTTAGTTGATGGTGAATAAACAACATGGGAAAAGGGCCACCTTTGTCTTTGTTTTTCCAGGTTAATGAGTATTGGTGGCTGCTGAAGGGGAGCAAGACTCTAAACTAGGGTTCTCTAGAAACACGCCTGGTTATCTAAAGTGACAGAGAAGAACGCCGGGGTGACTCAGTCTTTGGGCACCAGCCTTCCGCTTGGGCCATGATTCCAGGGTCCTGGGATCGAGTCCCACATCCAGCTCTCTGCCCAGCAGGAGGACAGCTTCTCCCTCTCCTACTCCCCCTGCTTCCCTCTCTCGCCATCTCTCTCTCTCTCTGTGTCAGATTGAAAGGTCCCCCAGTAATGGGTCCATGATTAAAGGAGCGAGACTGATACAAAGCGAAGGTCAAGCAAAGCTTTATTCCGTGCCAAGCATCAAGAATCAGACCAAACGTTCGGGGCTGCACCTCTTACAGAGAGGGCGACCTCTCTGCTTTACAGACTAGCTTTTAAGGGCAAAGGCCATGTGGTTGGGCCTGGCCAAGCACAGGTGGCCAATGAAACTGTAACACACAGAGAAAGCTGCACTGTCATGCTAGGTCACACATAAGTGACCAATTGAATTACAATTTACCCTAGTAGCTATTTGAACTAGCCTATTACCTTGGTCAGAATTGGCGCCCAAAGGGGGGGCCCATACTCCTTGGTAACTAGGGAAACAGTATGCACCCCGCCACTGATTGGATGTCTCCAAGGGTGGCCTGACCCACCCTTCTATTTGGGCTTTGTTACCTGGGACTGGTTTCTAGGTCTTGTTTTTAAGTAAGTCCCGTGGGGGAAGGGGGGTAGGGACAGTGTAAGTTTTACTGCATAAACAACAAAATGACTGTTTAATCCGAGATGGAATCGCTCTGGCTAAATAGGCCCTTACAAGATAAATAAATAATCTTTAAAAAAAAAAATAAAGTGATAGAGATCTGAAGTAAGAATACCCTGGGACATAGACTGGAAAGCCATAAAGTTGCCATAATACAAATGTAGGTCCCTCAGCCCTTAGGAGGAGGGACCTGAGGCAGCCAGAGCCCCCAAACAGCCCCCAAGGAGCATCCTGTGTTTACCCCAGCACATTATGGAAAGAGGGTGCTCAGTGTGCCTTAACATGAAAAAGGAAACTGCTGACTGCTCTTACCAATTTAATGGCCCTTATGAATGACTGACTCATCTCCTCCCATATGCAAGTTGTGTCCTTTGCAATGCCAGGAACATTCTTAACCTTCACTAAACACCCAACTGGTTCATTGACATTATTTATCATGGTACACAGGATGCTGGATCGCAGTATTATGGGCATAAACGCACCTCTCTGTATCTCTAAGAACACTTAAAGAGACAACCAAAAGCAATTTATGAAACGTGATTGGATCGCGGCTTAAAAGAAAAGAAAAATAATTTTCCTTTTCTTTCACTGATTATTTTGAAAATAATCAGTGAAAATTGCATAGGAACATAATGAAATTCTTTCCAATTTTCAGTATGTGTTTCAGTATGTGTTGTTGATACTGCCTGTTGATCTGAATCAAATCTGCCATCAGAGGAGGACCGTTTTCCAACATTATTCAGAATAATGGGTTATGAACACTAAAGAAAATCTTAACAAGCAACCAACCTCAGAATACTTTAACATGTTAGCCATTGCTGAAATACGTCTTCAAGCATCCTAAGGTGTCACTTTGAGGAGGCAATCAAATTTGGAGGTACGGGTTCTAGGCCACTGGTTTTACAAACTCAATCATACAATTTTCTAGTCATACTGATAAAGGGAAGGCAAGCTGAGGACAAAGCAGAAGCCAACACCCCATAACACCCCACAACACCCCGGCCATGGGATTTAAATGGCATTCCTCAGGTACTCCTGGCTGCCCTAAGGAAAAACAAATAGTTAACTTACAGAGATCACAATCCTGAAAGATAGGAGTCTTCCTCAGTTTAGAAAAATCTTAGCAATCTACAAGATGGTCTAGCTTCTGGAAGGGAATGTACATTCAGTTCAGTGTCCTTATAATCTGCTGCTGATTGACTGGTACTTGAAGCTCAGAGAGCATAATGTTCCTCTAGGAAGCTCCCAACTGTCTTACTGTTAATGCCTGACTAGAAGAAAAAACAACCTTAACTTGACAATGTAGGTCCTCTTTAGCATATGAAAGTTCTTTTGAAACTTCCCTCTCCCTAACCTCCTCCAACCCTGTAGTATATAATCAGCCACCACCACCCCCGCAACCTGGGGCAGCAGCTCTTTCTACCCACCAGTCCTATCCCTGTGCTTTAATAACCCCCATTTTGCACCATAGATGTCTTAAGAATTCTTTCTTGGCCTGGGGTGGGTGGAGCGCCTGGGTGGCTCAGTGTTAAGCATCTGCCTTCCACTCAGGGCATGATCCCAGTAGCTCGAGCCCCGCATGGGGCTCCCTGCCCGGTGGAGAGACTGTTTCTCCTTCTCCCACTCCCCCTGCTTCTGTTCCCTCGCTCACTGTGTCTCTCTGTGTCAAATAAATAAATAAAATTTTAAAAAACAAAAAGAATTCTTTCTTGGTCATAGGCTCCGGACCTCACCCCACCCAACCTCACCTATATCACAAAACCCCATCAATATCTTGGAATACCAGCACTAACGTGACTGATGGCCGCCATAACCCACAAGTCCGGACATCACCATCCCCCTCCACACCCAGACAAGGGTTTCTTTTCATGGATTTAGTAGTTGGTGTCCCTGCAGGAAACAGAACCTAACTCTGGTAGTTCGAGAGGAAAGTGAAGGGGCTACTTGGTGGGGGGGGGGGGGGGGAGGCATATCAGCAAAGCAGGAAGTTGTTAGCACAGCCGGAAGTAGCTGGAGCTTCAAAGAGGGGGAGGGCCATCTGGAGCTGTAGTGGAGGGACACCCAGT